ATGGATGGATGGATGGATGGATGGATGGATGGATGGATGGATGGATGGATGGATGGATGGATGGATGGATGGATGGATGGATGGATGGATGGATGGATGGATGGATGGATGGATGGATGGATAGAGAGAAAGTGAGAATTGAAAATTTAAAAATCGTGAAATCGAAAATTGTTTAACAGCTTTTTGTGCTAAACTAATGAATGATCTTTTGCAATGTACGCAGTGTATTATGTTTTGCTTCTGATTTTGAATATGATGATCATGTTGATTGCCGCGGTGAATGATTGATGGAATGGCTCACAAACTAGCTTAGCAAATGGATGGATGAATGAATGAATGAATGAATGAATGAATGAATGAATGAATGAATGAATGAATGAATGAATGAATGAATGAATGAATGAATGAATGAATGAATGAATGAATGAATGAATGAATGAATGAATGAATGAATGAATGAATGAATGAATGAATGAATGAATGAATGAATGAATGAATGAATGAATGAATGAATGAATGAATGAATGAATGAATGAATGAATGAATGAATGAATGAATGAATGAATGAATGAATGAATGAATGAATGAATGAATGAATGAATGAATGAATGAATGATTGATATCCAAATTTTTTCTTACTATTTTTCCAGATAAGCAACGAGCTACATGAGATTTAGTTCCTTAGAATTTACATTACATTTTAACGATTAGAAGAAATTAGGTCAAATTGATTCGAATCTAGGTCAACAAAAAATATAAGCTAAGCTGTTTTGTATAAGGATTTTTTTTTGTAATATTTTTTTCGTGCTACTTTTGAAAACTAGTCAATCAAAATAATTACAATGAATTTTTAGTCAAATAATTAATTTATGAAATCACTTTGATATAACTACCTACGCATGTTCATAATTAAATGTATTTCCAAATAAACGTGCTTATAACGTGCATTTATATCACAAAAACTCACATATAGAGCAAGCAGGTTGATAAAGTCACGAGTAACCACTGATACATATCTTTTCTATGATGCTCATTTCAAACCTGTAATATACTCATAACTGACCTATGAAGTTTTAACGTTGAAAGTATTTAGGCAAGTAACACCACTCAAAGTAGTTGTTGGTTCGTGTTCTACGTAGGCTAACATGCGGATGATTGGTTCGTGTTCTACGTAGGCTAACATGCGGATGATTGAGGGAACGTGTGTTTGTTTAAATAGCCGCTTGATTGACTGATGGTTGATGTTGATATGTGTGTGTGCGTGTGTGTGCGTGTTTGCGCTTTCTTATGTTGTTGAACATTTTTTCTCTAACTGCATGTATTATCACTTATCAAATATAGACGGATGTTTAAGCGTTCGAGTATAAATAGACATAGATGCACTTCATCCAGCTTGATGTGTCTGCGAAAATAGCTCTGCCTGGCAATTAAATGATTCCTCACATTTCCGTTCTGAATACTACCTGTTGGAATAATAATTTCAATTTAATGCGGTGAAGTTGAAGCCATTAATATTAATTTCATTGAAATAAAGCATGATGTGTTTTTTTGTAGTTCAGATCGCGCAATTGTCTAACTTAATAACGGCAGTCAAGCTTTTATTATTTATGAGAAATTCCTGTAATTAACGTTCGTCATTGTTCGGAGCTAATTAAATAATTGAAGTTCATTATTAAATTGGGAATTAGGTTGAACAGTGGGAAGATGGATTGGATGCAGTGATGATCCTTGATTGAAACAAAATGAAATGATGGGCATCTTTATCTTGTTAGGTGCCTGCATTAAACATCACTTATATTGGTTACTAACAATTTTACTGAGCAGAAAAAGAATGAAAAAATGGAGGGATTATATGCTGCTTACAGACAAATTTAGACGAAGGACAGCCGAATAATTTTTTGCAATGAATTTTGTTTATGAGTTTCTCTAATTGCTTTAAATGAGAACAAATTGCGTTTTAGTATTTCGCAAAAGTGTAAAACCGCGAATCTTTCGCATAGTCATTAGATCTTTCGCTGGGAAGACAATTAACTTTTTAGGGAATTAGAACAACTAATCTGCATTTTTCATGCCTGTAATAATTCAACAAGAGCATGAACAAATTATATGAAAATTTTTTTATACTTATTGAATAATTTATTGCTAGCAGTGTGCACAAATCTGTTTAGCACAGGGGTGGGCAAACGTTTTGCTGCGAGGGCCGCATTGAAAACTATTTGACCTTTGGCGGGCCGCAAATGTACTTTTTTTGACCGTCGACGAGGGGGTGAAATTTTTAACATGTTCACGACCCTTTTTTGTTTTGTTTCGTCATAAAATCTGGCTGATAGGTAGGTGGGTATGTGGGTAGGTGGGTAGGTAGGTAGGTAGGTAGGTAGGTAGGTAGGTAAATAGGAATGTGGGTAGGTAGGTAGGAATGTGGGTAGGTAGGTAGGTTGTTAAGTTGATTGTTGGTGGTTGGTGGTTGGCTCTCTTTGTCCATAACATTTCATTCACATCATTTTTATAACATTTTCATACAAAAATTTCAGCTATGTATACAAAGTTTTATTCTAAAATTATTTTCAATTAACTAAAAAGTTTGTCGACGTGTTAGTTTCGACGGCTAGACAGACTGTCGTCGTTGTCTCACGTCAGATCAATCGCCATCTGTCCGAGTGTATAGAAAAACTTGTGGACATGGTGTGGTGCTTGCGTCCGCGTCTGCAACCTATAGAGTGTGCACTGCACCGCATCGTGTGGCGCCACAAAAGTTTAGTTGCAAGCTTATAAGTAAAAAAAACTGTTAGCAACTCTGAATAAATAAAAAGTAAGTTATTTGTAATGCTTCTGCAACATATGTGAGCATTTTTGTCTTCAAGTAACTTCTTCGAAATGATGTTTGATGTTTTTGGTATATGCCTGATACAATGATTCGAAGTTACAAATGGCTTTGTTGATGTTGCGAGGTGTTCAAATTAATTTCCTCCGACTGTGAAAGTTATCAATTTGATGTCTTAATTGCTGATGCTCTGATGGGTGGTACATTCATATATTTTTAGTTATCATGATTCTTTGTTATATATTTTTATATATGTTAAATATTATTTTTTGTTTATATATTTTTATTTATCTTGCATCATTGTTTAAACGCCAGACGTGAGAGATCCAACGAAGGCTGCAAGCAGCAACGACGACAAGTCAAAGGAGGACACAGCCTCAGATCTGAACTCTCCTAACATAAATAGAAACAACAACATCGACAGCAGCAAGCACAATAATCACATCATCGACAACAACATCGAGGACGACGACGACAACAACGACATTGACAATTCGTTCGATAACGAAGCATGCACGCATGTCTTGTGCAACAGTGACGAGTATGTCGAACAGCCTCGCTGTCCCGTCGACTCGCGTATGATTCAACTGGAGGAGTCGAACATCATCGCGAAGAAATGTTGCGGCGGCCATCCCAGCAACGCCACAACCTGCGACTGCTTGCCATGCCCTAACACCAAAACTCTCTGCAAGCCTCCGCAGTTCTTACAACTCTCACAAAACGTCACCAAGAAGCCTGGCACATGTTGCGACAAATACCACTGCGTTGATAAAGGTTCGCCGTCGTTTATGTGTGTTCGTCCTTTATACTGTTCGTCGTTCATACTGTTCGTCGTTCATGTTATTTGTTGTTGTTTGTGCTGTTTGTTTATGTTATTTATAACATAATTCCAACATTTTTGTTAAGCATTCGATCGTATGTTAATATAACGTTATGTTTTGATCGGCTTTCAAAATGTTGCTGCAATGGTTTTGGTGTAGGTTGAGTTGAAGTGGTCCTTCAATATTTTTAATGGGAGTTGTGAAGTGATGACGTTGTTGATGGTGATGAGGATGATCATGATGATGATGGTTATGATATTGATGAAGATAGTTTGCCATGGTCGTAGTAATGATTATTGTATATGCTGTTTTATTTCAATTAAGACGTTGAAGAAGAAGAAGATGATGATGAGGAGGGAAATATAGTTTGAAGAATAGTTCAACAACAGGTTAAAATAATGGGGCAGTAGTGAGAAAAAAAAATGTTTAGAAGATTTTAAAAAATGTTGGTTGGAATGTGGGAAATAAAGTGGAATTAGTGTCAGTCTGCATGATGTGGTTGGTGGTCGTCGTCGATGCTGGCTGGATTGAGTTTGAGTTTTGAGAAGCAGAAGCTGTTAATCTTGAGTGGTAGAAATTATGAGTGCATGCAGTGGCGGATCTAGACAACTTTGACGGTGGCAGAGTTTAAACTTTAAAACTTTTCAACCGTGAACGGGGTCGAGAAATTTTAAAAAATTTTGAAAATGTTTGAATGGTGTTGACCGGTCGGGCCAACATTTGTGGTATTGCAGTAAAAATTACGTCATAAACGCTACTTTTTCCGTGACTTTTAATGCAAATACTGTTCACTCTGCCGCCCCCCGCCCCTTGGATCCCTACCGAATGCGCGTATTGACGATTGTGAAGTGATACAGTGATAATTATGACGTCAATCAATCAATCAACCAACCAGTCAATCCAATGTTTGGCTGATCAACCAACTAATCAGCTAACACTGAAACCTAACACACTACAACAACACAGTGTGAGTTAATTAAGTCATCAGTCAGTTTGGCGCACAAAATCAATCCATTAAACGAGGGCCACACGCAACGTAACATTTTGAATAAATGCTAAGTACCACACAAACTCATGTTTGTTTTTTCAATTAATAAATTAAACACATACACATACACACACACACACACGCAGACAGACAGACACGAAATGTATAACTTTTTTCTATTAAACCAAAACACCACCACCACCTAGGCAGCCACAGACATAAACAAAAAGACAGACACACAAAAACACCATTAAATTTAGCATTGTCAGCAAGTGCGACGTCATTTGATTTGCTTTGTTTAGTCAGTCCTCATCCTGTCTAGTCTCTTCATTTGCTAGAATGTTTTGCATTTGCATGCGTGTTTTGGAAATTTTTTGTGCCTGTGTTACCAGCTTGTTACGATGCGTTGGAAGAATGCGCAAAAAAACTGTTAAAATAGAATGTAAACATTTCAATCTCGCCTCTCTGCTTTCTACTGGATGTTATTCAATCAACCATTCTTTGAAGTTTTTTAAGTTTTTTTATAAAAATAAAAAAATGTGGAGTCATTAATTTATTTTGAGGTTCATTGTCGTGCTGGCATCGTGGCTGGTGGCTATATTGAAGTAGAGGGTGATGTTCAAACAGTTGTGAATGCGCCGTGAGAGGTCTTCAAATTTGAGGCTTCCTTATTTAATTTAAAAATTCACTCTAGCTTGTTGTTAAGTATTATTAAAAATACGCGTGTGAGGGATTTCCCGGATTGATCTATTTGTTGGAGTTGTGAATTACTGTTGGTAACTGTTAGTGTTGTTAGTACATGCTGAACTTCAGACCCAGAGGTGGGTATGCATGGTGCATGGTGCATGGTGCATGCAGGTTGGTTCGCATTTAATTATTATTCAAATCAAGTAACTTAATTGCCGGTTAGAATTTGAATTGATTTTGAAATGAAGTTAATTAGTTGCATTTCGTTTAAATTTTTATCTTCTCTTCATTTTGATCACTCTTTCTCTCTCTCTCTCTCTCTCTCTCTCTCTCTCTCTCTCTCTCGATCATATTTCTTCACAATTCTTCTTTCTTCTTCTTTCTTCTCGGGTCAGTAGTACGCACGTGTGTACACACATTTTTAAAGGTAAATAATAGAGATATTTACAAAAGCACATTAAACTATCAAAAAATATAATGTGAATAATCTTTAATTGACAAAATTATTAACAACTTAACAAAGGCAGTTTTGTTTATTTGCTCTTCATGTGTGCCCATTCATTCACAATTACGTTCGAGTGAGATCTTCACTGGCTATTAATTCTATTATGCACACTTGTCTCAATATAGGGTTTCACTGCCTTTCTGTTCGTGAAAGTGCTCATGTGTATTTCTTTGTGTGCAACTGCAAGAGAATCGTGTGTTGATAATTATTTACTATCGAATAACTGTTGCAGTACAAGAAGCATGTTTGTCACAAGTCACAGTTGCGAGTTGTGTGTGTTCGTTTGTGTGTCTGTTTGTCCTCTGTGTGAGGTCCTTTTCTTGCCTTCTGTATTGTCTACGGCTTCATAGATTAATTGCTCCTTTGTTCATCAACTTAGGTATGTGTGCAGGTATTTTTGTTTCAGTTGTATTTGTGTATGTACGTACGTATGCGAGTTAATTCGTCGAAACCAAACATTTCACTTTCGTTCGTATTTACTGGCTCTATTAAGTTAATTCATCCATTGCTTGTTTAGTTTGTTCAGCTGCTGGCAAACTGTAAATTTTTAACACCCAGCACTTTTACACAGACACACATACACTGACACACATTCACAAACAATCACACACATGCCACACACTTACACACACACAATCACATGTATACCTATACAAACAATATTTATTTTTATATTTTTACATCATATTGCATTTATATTTTCAAGATTGTATACATGTTGGCTGCTTGCGTGGCGTTTTAGCAGCATCCGTGTACGTGCGTAGCGTGTACAAACATATTAGATGTTGAAGTCTGTTTATGTTTTGCATGCTAGAAAGATTTGTTAATAATTTTCAGATGTTCCAGCTTAAAAGCAAGATGTATTTTTGTTTTGCAAACTTCAAATGCTTCTACATAGAAATCAGTTTTTGTTCATGGTTCTAAAAGTTCTGTTGAGTTTCTAAGAATATGTGCAGTTGATATAAAAAAACCGAGATTTTGCGTGCGTGCGTGTGTTTGTGTGTGTGTGTGCGCGCGCGTGTGTGTATGCGTGTGTGTGAGATAGTGTGTGTATCGTTCACTTCGAAGTTGTTTAATAAATTGTTTACATGCTTGCAAATTTGCTGTATGTTGCAGTCATTACAATAGCACAATGGATAAGTTTTGAAATTTGTTGATACATCAATACATACACCTTGATACATCAGCAATTTATTTAACACATCGATTATGTACAAAAAACGTAAAAAGTGTTCTGATTTTTCTAATTTTAAAGATGAAAATCAAAAAATAAGAAAGAAAATGGAAAGAAAGATTAATGAAAAGTTTGAAAAGTTAGCATTGAAAAGAAGGGTAGAAGCAAAGGAAGAGTTTGAGAAAGAGAAAAGAGAAAAGGAGAGAAAGAGAGGAGGAGAAAGAGAAGGAGAGAGAGAAGGAGAGAGAGAGAGATAGACAGAAATGAAGACAAAAAGGGAAAAATACAAGAATGAAAAAACAAAACTAGCAAGAACTTGAAAAGATTTTTCGTAGAATATTGTAAAATGTCGAAAGAAATAAAAAATTTCTGTCGTAGTCCGTGGAGGAGCTCTTGATAATGAGATGATTGCGGAACCGACTGAAGCTTATTTTAGGACTAGACAAAATTTCTGCTAGCTTTTTTTAATATTTTAAAAATGCGTGTCAAATGAAAATTACTGGATTAGCATAATTGAATAGTTGTGTGCGCGCGTGTGTTGTTGCGTGTTTTTACATCAGTATACAAACGTTAAGTAGATGCGTATCAATATAATCTGTTATTCGTAATAATAGGTTTCTTTGTGAGTCTCTATGAGTTTGCTTGTATGTGTATTGTTTAGTATGGTGAATATCCATACATTTATGCACGTACATACATGTGGTACTCATATGGTTATTAATAGATGTGTTAATATGTAAAGTGTTTGTATTGCGTGTGTTTGTGTGTGTATTTGTGCGTATGTGTATTTACTCCACACTCTACAAGCCTGACAAGTCTGCGAGGTCTGTCTGATCCATTTCTTCTTGGGTTAATTATTTCTTTTTATAGCTGTTTGGATCTCGTTATCTGCATTCGGATGAATCATCACGTACACATGTACATAAAATCGTGTACACACGCACACATACGTAGATACATAGGCATTGTCCTTGTAAGATACGTATGCCTGAATATGCAAAATCAAAATTTAATGTCTACCGTTAAATATTCTATTCATCTCTCTCTCTCTCTCTCTCTCTCTCATCACACACACACACACCACACGCACGCACACATACACCACTCACACACAAAAAACACCACACACACACAAACACACCTGACAGAGACATATTGTTACGGCATCCAATGTAATGACAACTCAACATTCACGTGTCCAGACGACAGCGAACTCGTTCCAGTCGGAGAGTTTGACATCTGTTGCATGAAAAGCATGGGGTTAGTTCACATATTTTCTCATTTTTACTGCTTTAAATGCGTTTAAAAACAATAAACGCTGAGATTAAAAAGATTCCTCTGTAGTGCGTTTAAGATTTGCGCAGACAGGCATATATAATATGCACCATCTTCCTTTTTAACTTTACTTTTGCATCCGCATGTCTATTCCATTCAAACGTAGCAATTTTCATTCATTGAAAACTTTGTTTGCAAACAATATAAACGATCAATTCGAAATAAGAAATTTCTCGCGAAATATTTTTTTCGAATATTCAACATTGGCGAGCGTTTGTTGCGCTTCACAACAATCAGAGAGAGATGAGAACGATGCCTGCCAGATGATTGGCACTACCGGCACAACTGCTGCTGCTGGAAGGGCTTCCTGGGGCCGTATGTTTGGAAATTATTTGAATGGGGTCATGGGGTGGAACTACGCTGAAATTATCTCAGGAGTTATTATTTATTTGCCTCGAGTTGGCTTCACCGTTTCATCTGGTTCATCGTTTTTCCAAAACTGTTAATTAAATTTTCTTGCAAGTCTGACTTTGAAGATGTTTTTCGTATGAATCGTGTGCATGTGCGTGTGCGTGCGTGCATGTGCGTGCGTGCGTATAAATATGCACGGGCCCACACTTGCTTATGATAACTTTTGCATACGTGCATTCAAACGCATTAATGCAAACACCGCAATAGCATAGGCAGGGCAAACACACACACAAACACGTAGACATTCACAGATCACGTAAACAATATGAACCTTCTCTTTTGATAATTTATGAAGAGAAGCAAAGTAAATAATGTTGTTATAAATTTTTTTGATTGTTCATGCGTTTGTTGGCTTATTATGAAGTTTTGTATTTCTATAAACTAAAAAACAAAAATTGTTCCATCATAAATTACATACACACATATATACTCGAAAAAATGTAAACAAATTTTTATTATAAGTTAATAATTATTAATTAATTGAATGAATATATCAATACTAAACAAAGAAACATAGATCTATAATATGATCAATAAAAACACTTATTAAAAAGAAATATAACAATCATATCTCTATCTCTGTATATATTTTGGGTTTAGACTATCATAAATACAATTATTTATAAAGATCACATGTAGTTGAGTTAGTTGAATAATGCCGAAAACGCAGAACTCTTTATATATGTGTATGCATGTGTGTGTGTTTATTTCCTTGTGTGTGTGTGTGTGTGTGTTTGTTTGTTTGTTTGTGTGTGTGTGTGTGTTTGTGACAGCACAGGGAACAGCACAAAATGAGAGGAAGAGATATAGTGGTAAAGTTGGTTAATATGGATTGGCATGGAAAACTTAGATTGAACACTTTTAAACAATGAAGTTGATTATCGTGTGTTGCTTTTGAACGAACTGGTTGATGATGCGTTGTTTTGTCCCATCTCATGCTGTCGTTTGCACCCAAGTTAGGTTAAGGTTTCAGTTTGACTTTAAATTTACATTTCTTTCTAGGTTCCATTTCTAAGTTAAGGTTAATCAATTGGAATGAAAATAACGTATTTGGTTATCGATTGTAATGATGTTGTTTTACCTGTATGGTTATCAGCAATCTATTTAGCTAGTGTTTTGTTCTGATTGTTTCTACTTAATTTTCCTGTTTTGTTTGCGATCATCGAGCCGATGAACAAACGTGGCAAAGTTGTTTCTGCACTGGAACGCTGTTCGTTCGTTCAAAATGTTCTACAAAGTTTCCTTGTGTTACAAATCCTTGTAAAGTGTTGTTGGAAGTTGTTCGATAATGTATGCGGGCACACGCACACGCAATGTTATCTATCAATCATGCCTGCCTCTCCGACTGCCTGCCTGCCTGTCTGTTTGTCTGTTTATATTGCACGATGATGTTTCTCTTCTCTCTAATTGTGTCGAGGTCGTCGTTTATCAATCGATACAAAAAACATAGACAACAAAAAACATAAACAACAAAAAACATAAACAACAAAAAGCCTAAACAACAAAAAACATAAACAACAAAAAACATAAACAACAAAAAGCCTAAACAACAAAAAACATAAACAACAAAAAGCCTAAACAACAAAAAACATAAACAACAAAAAACATATACAACAAAAAGCCTAACAACAAAAAAACCTAGACAACATAAGCAGCACGAACTGCTACGTTTTGTTACATTTCTTTTCACCATCAACTTGTTTTATTCTGCTTGCATGTGTTTTGCTTTTATGCATTTAAATGTTTAAATATGTACTAACTGTATTACAAAATGTCTGCAAAAATATGTGGATATGCGGATATGCGTGTAAATAAGATTTCAATCACTTTTTTAAAACAGGTAGGTTGGATGTGTGTGTGTGCGTGTGTGTTTGTTGTATGTGTGTGTATGTATTTGTATGTGTTTGTATGTTTGTTGTATATTTGTGTATGTTTGTTGTATGTGTGTGTGTGTGTTTGTTGAATGTGTGTGTATGTGTTTGTATGCTTGTTGTATGTGTTTGTGTGTGTGTTTTTTTTTGTATGTGAATGTACAAAGTGAAGTTTTATTTGCCTGAAGAGATTAGAAAAACACGCGAGAAGGAAGGAGCGTGCGAAGAATGATTGTATTAGGTTTCTTAATTGGATTGTCTGCAAAACATATCTCACTCCACTTCAATTGATTAGCTTATTTATTTATTTATTTAAATCATTGAATTTTTATTTTTATTTTTAAATTAATGAATGAGTGAATGAATGAATGAATGAATGAATGAATGAATGAATGAATGAATGAATGAATGAATGAATGAATGAATGAATGAATGAATGAATGGATGAATGAATGAATGAACGAATGAACGAACGAACGAACGAATGAGTGAATGAATGAATGAATGAATGAATGAATGAATGAATGAATGAATGAATGAATGAATGAATGAACGAACAAATGAATGAATAAACAAACGAACGAACGAATGAACAAATGAATAAATGAGTGAATGCAAAAAAGTTGCTCATGATTTTACTCAGGCTTGATTTTAATTTAATTAATTATTTGATTTGTTACCAAACCAATTTCATTTGTTGAAATGAAAGTGTGAACACTGACGAACGGTTTGCACGGTGTTTGCAATAAAAAATAAATTTCATTGTCAGCTGGCAATGTTCTCTGACTGTTGTTTAAATGTAAATTTACGCCACTTTAGTATCGTCGTCGATGAATTTGTTTGTAATGTAGCAGCGTAAAACTAAAACCCATGTTAAAGTTTCAGCTCGCCGATATGGAAATGTTTGAATTTTTTTTTAGTGAAATGCTTTTTTATAATTGTTTTGCATGTCTCTGTTTGCAACATTATGCTTCCTTCTTTGCTTCGCTGATGTTTGTATTTCTATCTGTAGTTGTATATGTCACTGCTGGTTTTCGACATCATATATCTCTATCTATCTCTATCTCTCTCTGTCTTTTTCTTTCTCTCCCTCTCACTCCCTTTCTCTCCCTCTCTCTCTCCCTCTTTCTTTTTCTCTCCCTCTCTCTCTCCCTCTTTCTTTTCTCTCTCTCTCTCTCTCTCTCTCTCTCTCTCTCTCTCTCTCTCTTAATCATCTCAGTGTGATTGAGCTGGGCGTGGTTGGTTGGGTAAGATGAGCGTTTTAAAGTATCAGAAGTGTTTGTTCATTTGTACGTGAGTGTTTGCATGTATGCATTTGTTCGTACGTCAACTTGAAAGTGTCATATGTGCAGGTTTATGTGGCATGTTCACGTGATGAATGTGTATTGCCCATTGCATCCGTTTGCACAGTCAACTGTTTGTTTGTTTTGTTTGTTTGCTTTTATGTATGTATGTAGGATTGCATGTTTGTATGTTTGTTTTGTTTATTGCAATTGTGTATGTTGTTAAAAATCAATTCTTGACTTAATGTACATCTATGTTTTATATCTACCAATGCATATTTTAAACTGTTCTCGCACTGACTCTTCTCTTTTGATGACGTTTTATTATTTTGTTTTTTTCCCTCCAATTATTGACTTTCCTTAAGTTAGTTCAGTTGTAATAAATCAACGGTTACATTGTGACAAGCGATCAAAATTGATTCCTGCCTCATTTTTAACGCTCCAAGTGAGTTATTTGTCACATAATTATTGAAAATTAATTAAAACGTTCGAAAAATTTGTGATGAATGTGCTACGCTAAAAACAAAACAAAATAAATGACGATTTAAAACCATAATATGAATTCATCATCGACCTTCTGAATGTTTGTTTCGTTTCATTTTGTTTCGCTAACAAGTTTCAAGTTTCCAGTAAGATATGCATGCATGCATGGGGTGGTTTATAATTTTTATATAGTATTCAGTAATTCTTGGATTCTTTTTTGTTCAATTAAGTTTTTGCTCGTAAATGAATAAAAGAGAGAGAGAGAGAGAGAGTAAGAAAAAGAAAGAGTGAGAAAAAAGATAGAGAAAGAGAGAGAGAGAGAACGTCTTAATGGCGCACCGAACTTAAATTAATGGTGCTCCTTTTTCACTTCCACAAATAACTCTCGAGCAACTGGGATGCTTTTTATTTGAGGATAATTTTTTAAAATCTGTTCTTACTGCCTGCGCGCGTGATGAACATGTCCTTAGTGGGCTAGCAACATCATCAGTTAGTTTTACACAATTTCATAAACAGACGCTAGTGAAGATGCCGTTTTGTAGTTTCTTTTTTATATAACCAGCAAGGTGGGATCTATCAAATGTTCAAAAGTGCACCAGTTAGTTTAGCAAGTGTGGGCGGAGTTGTTTGTTTCATTAAAAGTGGTTCTTTTGATTGTATTGAATACTTTCCCTGCTTAGTAAATAGCCGAAGTTAAATGCCAACAGTGGTGATGGCAGAAGATATGGTAATATTAATGATGATGGTGGTAATATTAATGATAATGATGGTAATGATTGGATGAATGGATGATGCAGGAGGCTGGAATGATTAATTATATATTAATGGGAATGAAATGAAATTAATAATAATCATGACGAAATTAGTCAGTGTTATAAACTGCTTGATAATAATATGAATAATATAATGATGAGAATGTTGACTTTGAAAATGATGATATTAATGATGATAATGATGGCGATGGTGATGATGATGGTGATGATGATGGGGATGATGATGGTGGTAATGATGGGGGTGATGACGATGAGGGAGTGAGCACACTTCCCTCTGTTTTGTTTATCGTAGTAAATTCATTGCTTGGTGTTGGCTTGGTTTTATTGCAGATAGCAATGTACGTACTACTCGAGTCTGGTTGTTTCTTTATGCGTTTCTGTGTGCCTCTGCATGTGTTTTGTGTGTGTGTGTTCTTGTATATGTGTCTGTTTATGTGTCTGTCTGTGTGTGTATGCCTGGCCTGGAGATATTGCACATATAGCTACAGATGAATATTTATTTATTTAATCTTTTTCCCTATTTGCCATTCATTGTTTGTTTGTTTGTTGAATCTTTTTTTTTATTTTCAATTTTCTTATTCATTTGTTCGTCCGTTCATTTGTTCATTCATTTATTTACTCACTCATTCATTCACTTATTCATTCATTCATTCACTCATTCATTGATTCACTCATTTACTCATTCATTTATAATTTTCGTCAGATGTAGTTGCAAGCCGAAGGAGGATTGCGAGATTCCGACACTGGAGTGTGGAGGGGGGCAGGTGATGAAGAAGGTGCGGGTGGGCACTTCCCTCCCTGGATCATGCTGCGATGTCTACGAATGCGTCAATGGTAGTAATCACTCTATCATTTTTTTTGTTTTTCCATGATATTATTTTTAAAAAGTTTGATTTTTGTGAAATTTCGTACCTTCTATCGGCTGAAAACGTTTTCATAAACTTCAGTATGTGTTGTAGTAGCGGTCGTAACAGCAGCAACGTCAGTAGCAATTGTATTAGAAGCGCTGATGGAAAGTAAAACAATGTAGAAGAGTTGATTAATCTACAAATTTATTTTATTTAATTTAAATTAAAGGTTGAGGAGATAAATCATAAAAATGTTTGTTATTGTTCGAATATTGCCATCTCATTCTGCTGCCGCTGCTGCTGCTGATGATGATGGCGGTGATGATGATGATGGTGGAGGTGATGGCGATGATGATGATTATGATGACGGTGATTATTATGATGGTGATGATGATGGTGGTCGTGGTGATGAGGATGATGGGAGTGGTGGTAGTGGAGGTGATGGTGATGATGATGATGATGATGCTGATGAGTATGCTGATGATGATGGCGATGTTGATGAGGATGATGAATGTTGAAATCTCCCAAATCATCATCAGATTTAAATTAAAATTCTTTTCAGCCATTTCATGTTTATAATAATTTTTCCAGTCTTGAAACAAGGGCCAATTTGACTCAATAGAACTTTATAATAATGAAAAAGACATTGTTTAAGACATTGGTTTCGCTGATATCATAGGTCATAGGTTTATAAATCAAGGTAGACATATCACACAACATTAAGCAACCATGTAAGCATCAACATATACAACAACACAACACTACATAACATCCAAAAAAAACATACAGCATCAACAGCAACAACAACAACATGCCACAAAAACAACAGCAATAACAACAACATGCCACAACAGCAACAACAACTACATGCCACAACAACAACAGCAGCAACAACAACAACAATAACATGCCACAACAATTTGCATGTGGCTTCAACTTCAACTTTCAGTCTTCCACATTTTCTTACAAAAATGTTTCATCATCATTCAATTGAGATAATTGTCATGGTTATAGAAGTTTTGTTTTTATAATGCAATGTCATCACTAACTAATAAATTATTTTATCTAACAATTGAGCAAACAAACAAACAAACAAATTAATCAGTGAATCAAGCAACCAACCAACCAATCAGCCAACCAACCAACCAACCAACCAACTACCCACCCACCACAGAAATCTCAATGACGTGCTCCTACAAAGATAAAATAATAAAAGATGGCGAGGAGCTGATGATCGAGCCCTGCACGAGATGCAAATGCAAGCAGTGGATACTTTCTTGCAGTGAGGTGGCCTGTCGGGAGCCTGAATCGTGCGAGTGGATGGCCCTCTCCAGTAACGACTCCTGTTGCAAAACATGCAGAGGTCGGTGGCGTTCCACGTGTTCGCGTCGAGTTCTGTTCTGTTGACGTTTTTATGAAACAATTTTTAAAAAGTTTGCCTTGTTCGATTTGATATGTTGGATGTTTTATGGTTGGGTTGAACCGTCTGATGACGTTTCAAATTAAATTTTCATTGCAATACCTGAATACGTTTAAATCTGAAATACCAACAATAATTGAACAATATTCAAACATTTCCAACCAACAAACCAACCAACCAATTAATATAATCAATCGGCTAATTATCTAACAAGCAATGAAACAATCAATCAATCAACTAAACGGCTATTTAATAAGCACTGAACCAATCAACCAACCTTTCAATCAGCAAACAACCTTTGCACCAACTGATATCATTCCCCTGCCAGGATGTTTCGACGATGTGGTGAAGAGATTTTTCGAGAACGGGCAGACATGGTCGCAGGACAACTGCACGCTGTGCAAGTGTGAGGCGGGGGTGACTCACTGCTTCGCTGAGATGTGCCAGACCAACTGTGCCCACCCCAGAGAGGTCCCTGGACAGTGCTGTCCTGTCTGCGATAACAGTGAGTTTGAAAGAGGAGGATGATGAGGAGGAGGAGGATTGGAATGATTGTGACGATGATGTTGAAGATGATGATGATGATGTTGGTAGTGGTGGTGGTAAAAGTGAATGAAGGTTGTGGTGGCGGTGGTGGTTGTGATTATAAAGAAGGTGATGATCATGATGACGGCGATGGTGTTGCAAATATGTAAAAATTTACTTCTGGACCTTGCTAAGACGGACAGTGTTGAGCTTGGTTATTCTTTTTCTCCTCTTGATAAGCGTGTTTGTTAGGATGTGGACTCGTAGAAAGAGGTTTTAAATTTGCAGAGTTGAGTAACGAGAGAATCTCTGCCATCAGATTAAAAAAAGTCTAATCGAGTTTTGAACATTTAAAATTTTATGTGAATTTTTTGCTGGCATATCAGCGTAATACCAACACATTGTTATAAATATTTATAAATACGTTGAATGATGATGAAACATTTTTGTAAGAGAATTTGAATGGCTGAAGGTTGAAACTGAAGCGGCATGCAAGTATCACACGAGCGTCCATGAATGAAAATTCAAGCGATAAATATAAATAATGAGTGCATTCGAGTTACGAGAGGCCTGAAGTCTGCTTATTGTGACAACTTTTTTGCTAAAGTGATCACACCCTTTTGAAAGGAGTGAGTGTGGTCTGTAACGATGAAGATGATGATGATGAGAATGATGATGATGATTGTGATGATGATGATTGTGATGATGATGATTGTGATGATGATGATGATTGTGAGGATGATGATTGTGAGGATGATGATGATGATTGTGAGGATGATGATGATGATTGTGAGGATGATGATGATGATTGTGAGGATGATGATGATCGTGATGATGATGACGTTTTTGAGTGTAAAGTTTATAGCGAAAGATTATGAAGGCCGATCGATGTAGTGGTTGTTACTCTTCTCATCCTCACTGCCACCAATTTGTTTCAACATCATCATCACCGTCCTCATCTACATCATCACCGTCATCATCATCATCATCGTTATTGTCATCATCATCATCATCATACACTGATCTGTCTGTCTTTAATTAATTAAAAGTGATTGGTTTAAATCATATTAAATAAATTATCTGTCTGAATGGCTGGATGAGAATATTGTTCAAGTGGAATTCGTAATAATAATAATAATAATAAATAATAATACTTATAAATAATAATAGTAATAACAACAACAACAATGTTAGTAGTAATAATAATTAATTTTAATTCAGCGATTTAAAAAGTGTTTGAATGAATAGAAATAAAACTGCTGAACAATTGCTGAACTTCTCGAAACAATTTTATGAATCATACTTGCACGATTCGTTTGAATTAATCTGAATTAATTAACATTTGATATTTAGTTAGTTGGCATGGAGGTTTTTTTTATGGCAAACTGAATGTTTCACACAACTAGCTAGACTTATATTTGACTGATATCCTGAAACGAAGTATCAACCAATCCACACAAATAGTTTTGAAAATTAATTAATTTTTAGATCGAAAAATGTTTCATTAATATACCTTATAATATTTATAATTATAAAATTAAACTGAAAATGACGACGCACACGCGCACACGCGCACGCAACAGTCACGTTGGTTCTCTTGTTTACTGAGATTTACATTCATCTGTTTGTCAATTTTGTATTTCTGCAGAAGAAAACTCGCGAAGTCCGGTTTCAAATGCATGTTTTGCGCTTCTGTGGGGCGTTCTTCATGTTTAGATACGTACATACAGAACAATTTTTCGTTATTATCATTAAATTTTTATTAATGAAATGCATCGTAATGCTATATAATGTATGGAATGCAATGTAATTTGAGTGTAATGTAATGAAGGGATACAATTTGATGAGATGTAATATGATGGGAATGAATGAATGAATGAATGAAAGAAGGAATGAATGAATGAATGAATGAATGAATGAATGAATGATGAATGAATGAATGAATAAGTGTTTCGTGTCATTTCAATTTTTGAAATGTTTTTTCCAATAATATTTGATTTTAAACAATATTTGGATATATCTAACAATATTTAATGATACTTATTAATATTTGATGATACTTATTGATATTTGATGATACTTATTAATATTTGATGATACCCAACAATATTTGATGATACCTAACAGTAGTTGGAAGTAGGTGATGGCATTTGATAGCAATTGATAATATTTGATTTCAGACATTAAATAAGGCATTGAAAGAAATTTACAACTTTAAAAGTTTATATATTTGAAATATTCGGAGCCTTAAATTAGAAGCCACTTCAAACGACCGAGTATAATTTAGGATGCTTTCAAAAAGCGATATAAATAGTCCGCATGAAATCTCACACGGTTGTGAAAAATAAATAGATGTTCATGCAGCGTTCGTTTACTCTCACACTTGCGAAATGTTCATCCTCACGTTCGCACTACTTTCATGTTCTTGTTCATTCAATGTTCATACAATGTTCATACAGTGTTCATCTTCACTTGTATATAATGTTCATCCTCACGTTCACGCAATACGTATTCATACTTATATTAATAAAACGTGCACACTCACGTTCACACAATGTTCATCCTTCTGTCCATGCTATGTTCATCTTCATGTTTATACTACGTTCATCCTCGCGTTCATCCTCAACGTTCACAGTCACATTTGTAAAACGGTTTTCTATACATTCACAAAGTTTATTCTTGCTTGTTTGTAATCGTTCTGAGTTAACTTTCTAAAATGGTCACCATCAGTTATGAACGTGCGTCTGCTTGGATGAACAATACAAACGTAAATAAATAAATGAACATTAACAAACATAACCATGATCATGAACGTGAACATGATTGAACATAAAAAGATACATAATGATGAATGGGCATACACACGAAGGAATGAACATAAATATGAACATGAACATACATATGAACATGAACATGAAAGAACATGAACACGAAGCCTACTCGCAATTCCTGACAGCACACCACTGATGTCTCCCAATGAAATAGCTCGCATTCCTAACGTTAATTCCAATTCAAGTGCTCATTTTTAACAACTATAAACAATCGCAATTAAAATAACAGCTTAAACATCCACAACAACAGTAATAATTAACTATAATTAACTATAATAATAATAATAATAATAATATTGATAACTTTTATTGTTAAACGTAATTATGCATTAATTATTATAAGTAGGTTTCTTTCAGAAACACTTAATAATTATTTATTTATTATTACTGTTATTATAGGTGTTATATTTTTATTATTAACATTATAGTTGTTTTTTTATAATAATATTAATATTATTACTGTTGTTGTTGTTGTTTAAAGGATATGATTTTTTGCTAACAGTCACTTAAGTTATCTCAACTATTTCGTCATTGTTTAGTTTATCATCATCGTCGTCGTCATCATCTTCACTATCATCGTCATCATAACCATTGTCGTCGTCGTCATCATCATCATCGTCGTCATCATTTTTATTATCATCATCGTCATCATCATCTCTTCATCGTCATCATCATCATCATCTTCATTATCATCGTCATCATCATTATCATCATCATCGTTATCATCATCATCACCATCATCATCATCATCATCTCTTCATCATCGTCATCATCATTTTCATCATCATCGTCATCATTCTCATCAACATCGTTATCATCATCATCATCTCGTCGTCATCATCATCATTATTATCGTCGTCATCATCTCGTCATCATCATTATCATCATCTCGTCATCATCATTATTGTCGTCATCATCATCATCATCTATCTTATCTAGGCGGGCTGATTTCGTCTCCGTTCACTGGCGACTTTCATTGACAGACATTTTAACGTTCAACTTACTTCTGGAATGCTTCAAATAATCCTTCATTTATCGCTCATTCATTCGTTCATTCATTTACTCGTCCATTCATTTGTTCATTCACTAGTCCATTCATTCATTCATTTATTTACTCATTCATTCAATCGTACATTGTTTCGTTCAATTGCTAACTTTACTTATTTATTCGTTCTTTTTTTTTCGATGATTTGAAATACATCCATGCGTGCATGCATATCTGCATGCACGCGTACATATATGCATACACACACACACATACATACATATACATACATACATACAAACAAACAAACAAAACCTGTTCCTTTATATTCCTCAGATGTTGGAGCATCTGTGTGAGAGTATCTTTGATACTTGGTGCAGGTCGTTGTTATCATTCTGCGCTCCGTAAGTTTCGTTCGCACGCTTTTGATGACATCTTCCAATTTAAACAGCTTTGCTTCAAAATTAGGAATAATTACTTGAAGAAATTTTCAAAGAAAAATCCATTAAAACTAATAAATTGTATATGCTTCTGACTGAAGAGTGTTGCATCGTTACTACGATATGTTGCGATTGATTGATTGCCTGCTTGACTGAATGAATGAACGAATGAATGAGTGAATGAATAAATGATTGATTGATTATCTGATTGATTGCACAAATGTACGAAATGTTAATAACAACAAGAACATGAGGATGAGGCACTTGCTGATAAGAGCGACAGGCAGCCAGCCTACGAGCGTTCGTTGGCGCCGCTCACACAACGTCAGCGATTAGGCTGGCGACAATAAGAATGATTTGTTGACTCGAGGAGCGTTCTTCAGGCTATAAATAGTCCTCCCAACTGATAAACGTGCATGAGTGTGATGAAGATGATGGTGGTGGTGGTGGTGGTGGTGGTGGTGGTGGTGGTGGTGGTGGTGGTGATGTTGACGGCGATGACGATACCGAAGATGGTGGTGATAACAATGATATTGTTGTTCATGATGACGCCAGAGGATGATAATTAAATGATAACAAATGATAACAAATGATAACAAATGATAACAAATGATATCTAATAAAGCATTGAATCGTGTGACGGAATGTTGAAATTATGGCCGACGCATTGACGTGACTGTTTGGCGGTTGAAGAGGATGATAGTGCTGGGTGATAACTTAACAATGATGATAACAATTTGTTTAAAATTGATTCTCAGATGAGAACATTATATCCACCATCGGAGATACCCTGGACGCGCAAGATAATCAAGACACCATGCAACGTAAGAGGATCTGTCTAATGTTTTGGGAATGTTTCACGCCACACAATCATGCATTTTTAAAAGTCGTTGAAATATTCATTAAATTAAAATTTTTGCCATCTAGCAATTAATTGCGTTCTTTTGTTTTTAACGGCTGGTTGATTCTGTGAGGCTGGTCTCAAATATTGCTCATTTGTCTTAATGAACATTATAACGATTAACGATTCGCAATGTTGTGTGCCGGCCGTGATGAATGAATTGAAAAACAACCTGACTGACGCACACAGCGGCAGCACCCTGCAGACTCAAGTGCCCATTCGGATTCGTGAAGAAGAACAAGGTCCCTGTTTGCATATGTGCGAACGATCCCAAGACTTACAAAACAAAGACCACCACTTCGCTGAACCTCCTACCGACGACACTCAGCGAGTACCCGCTGATTCCTGCCTGCCCCAAACTCAACGACTGCCGCCTCAACTGCCTCTACGGTCGTCAGGTCGATGACGATGGATGCTTCCTCTGCGTCTGTAACCTCTGCCCTCAACTTGTCTGCAACAAGAAGTGCCTGCCTGGCTTCCAGACCAATGAAGATGGATGCAAAATATGCAAATGTGCAGGTGAGTCATTCTTGTCGCCGCCATATTTATCTATCATCACTGCCGTCATCATCACTATCATCACCACCATCATTATCATCACCTGTATTTTCATCACCACCATCATCATCACCTGTATTTTCATCGCCATCATCATTATCATTACCACCGTCATCGTCATCATCACTATTCTCATCATCATCACCTTCATCATTGTTATCGTTGTTGTCATCTTATCACTGTCACCAACTTCATGTGTCACCATCTCAATTTTTCTCCTAACAGTCCCCACCCTCAATAACCACCACACACCAAACATCTCCCCACCCAACAACAAACACTCCTCCTTCATCGTATGAATTTTGTTATCTTATGATTACGGATTAATTTTTAAACAATTAGGAGGTTGTGTTTGTTATGAAAATGTTTATACAATTTTCATTTTATTATGAAACTGTTTTTATATATTTACAATTCAATAGAATGGTAATAGATAAGGACGGTGAAGTGGACTTGAATGCCTGCAAGTTATGTGTTGTGATTGTGGAGCATGGCTTGCACTTCAAACAATATTAAACAGCATACATAATAATTGCGTTTTATCCCTTCATTTCCGTGCCGTCAAAATTACATCGTTGCGTTTTTTCGCAAATATTTCAAGCTGTTAATTATTTCGATCTGTGTGTTGAATTTTATGGACACAATTTCAACAGCGTACGACAAATTTGTTAGACACACATTAAGGTTAAAGGTTAAAGGTCAATTATGATAAATACAGAAGGGTAATTTTTTCTAGTTAAAAAACATGTTGGTGTGTTGATCGAAAGAGAGAAGAAATACATGAAAAAGTAACCATGTAAACTTGTAACCATGTAAACTTGTAACCAGGTAACTTTGTAACCATGTAAACATGCAACCATGTAAACTTGTAACCATGTAAACTTGTAACCATGTAAACTTGTAACCATGTAAACTTGTAACCATTTAAACATTCAACCATGTAAACTTGTAACCATGTAAACTTGTAACCAGATAACTTTGTAACCATGTAAACATGCAACCATGTAAACTTGTAACCATGTAAACTTGTAACCATGTAAACTTGTAACCATGTAAACTTATAACATGTAATCAGCACACAAATTTTTCTCAGGCATAATTAATAGCAGAAAAGTTTATGAGCACTCGCTCTCCTAACGAAAATAACCACAAAAATGTACAGCAATAAAAATATTAATGCACTGAGAGCCAGCAAACATTGGAAATGTTGTAGCAACACACAAATGAAAGGTTAATATCTCTGTGATGAACTCGCAAGGGTTTGTAACTGCTGATAAATAATAAAAATTAATGTAAATGTTACAACACTGCTGCACAATCCTTTTTCGTGAATTATTTGATTAGTACGACGAACCCAAGCAAACATGTAAGTGGATAAATACCACACAGTTTTTATTTGAATTCATATCTCGAGTTGCTTCTATTCATCGACTAACATGCGATGCAACCGATCGTAAAACACTCGCACACCTGTTGTTATGTTTTAATAACCATTTCTTCCGAACTCTGATTTGTCATTGTGCCGGCCAATATATATATTGGATGAATTACAAATATTTGACATTTAAAATTTTAATAACATCATTAATTCTGGAGTTTAACAGAAACATTTTTTATTTTTCATACAATATTTTATCGTCACAATTTGTAACATCACTGTTTATCACTGCCAGCATCTTCAGCGACATCTCACTCATACTACACTTGTCATCATCATCTTCATCTTCATCAATTTCGCAATTATCAGATTAATTCTCATTATCACCATCATCACCAGCATCCACTCACACGTACACAATTGAAAAACAAGCGCGCAACTAACTTCTATGCGGAATGAAGCATCTATTTATACGTACATCCATCCAACCATTTCAAACAATATCCTTTATTGGTCGTTAATGGCAATTGGATAATTCCTAAATCTTAATAGTCAGAGGGGCGGTTTAAATTACTGCTTAAGGACGTCATCGTCGTCGTCATCATGTTATCGTAATCACTATTTCATCATCATCATCATCATCATCTCCATCACCATCGTCATCACCATGAGGTCTGGGTTTCTTGTTAATGTAATTTCTGCTGTTGTTGTGCATGCATGTTGTATGCGAGTCGAGTGCGAGGTCATGTTTAACTCGTCAGGTAGTACGTACATTCGTAGCTAAAACACATGGTTTCATTTGCTACTTGCAATGTATTATACACACATACACATACACACACACATACATATAAACGTACATTCAACCACTTAAACACACACAAACATACAGGCATACACACACACAATCACTTGCAAGTAAATATTTAGGCACACACGTACATACCAACAAGCAAGCAAACATTAGCACATAGGAAAAACATAAAAACAAACAAACACACACACACACACACACACACTTATATGTGTGTACCACCTATATACGAGTGCGTAGATATATATTCATAAATACAAATATAAGCAGAAGACCCTTTTTTTGCTATAAATATTTCCGCTATTTTAAGTAGTTGATTTTTAATGAAAGTTATGACTTTAATAAGGCTGAGAAACATAATGTTCTGCAAGAGCTGGATGCATTCGTGCAACACAGACAGGTACATGTATGAACGAACGAACGAAAAAACCAACGAACCAACCAACAAACCAACGAACCAACCAAGTGTTGTATTAAAATGCATTTGCATGATTGCAATGCACACAAGTACATAAATGAGCAAATAACTCAATGTTATACTAACCAGCCAACCAAACAACCGACCAGCCAACATTGTGAAATTTTTAAAAAAGACGGAAACTTTGTTGGGAACTATTTAGTCTTGCGAAACCAACATCAGTGGCCATTTTGAATTTAAGGATGATTTGATTTCAAGATGACACCTTCATCTACGTTTCTGTATTTTCATATTTTATGAAGTTTTAAAATATCATTTCGTTTTAAAATTGTTCGCCCACAACACTTTAAAAAGTTATAAAAATAAGCAGCTCGAATTCTTTAAAATGCTTTCAAAAATTTTCAAAAAATGTGAAGTAGGTAGTTTGCTAAGAGATAGCATTTTATTGGCTTTTTGGCTAGCGAGAATGGTAATATAACCATAACAACATCAACAACAATGGTAACAACAAGCAACAACCACAGCAATAATAACAGTGGAAACACAAATAATAAGTCGTTCAAATGTGGCATGAATTATGAAGTCCCGTTTGGGTTTCTCCGATGCATTCATTCGACTTAATCACCATTCGAAAGTACAGCTGCAGTAAATTTTCAATGTTAGAACGTGCACGGAGAAATACAAAAAATTAAAATTATTCCCATGTAAAGAGTACCTCTGCCTCCATATAGCTGAAGTTAAATTTAGTGTTGCTGGGTTTTTATTGTATTGTTGTTGTTGTGTTGTTGTTGTTGTTATTGGGTTGTTGTGTTGTTGTGGGATTGCAGTTGTTGGATTGCAGTTGTTGTGTTGTTGTAAGTTTGTTGTTGTTGGGTTGCTGTTGTTGGGTCGTTGTTGCTGTTGGTGTCGTTGTGTTGTCGTTGTTTTTGTTGTTGTGCTGTTTCTTGGTAGTATGCCTGTGGGAAGGTGCGCACGTTAAATAAGAAAAAAACAGAACACCTGCAGGATCAGTCGGAACTTCTGAGATATCTACGATATGCAATTTTATTTCTCAGTTTGTTCATTCGTTCGTTTGTTTCTAACAATCTCTGCTAATACTTTCATAATCGTCGTTGTCTTCGTCGTGCCATTCCAGCTGTCATCATCATCGTCGTCATCATCGTTGGTACCGTTATTATTGCTATCAATACTTTCACTATCATTATCAGGTTCAATATCATCATCATCAGCACCAGCAGAGGTGAATTTGGCGCTCTAGACGGGAAAAACATTTCCGCCCCTCGTTCATTTTACCTTTTTCTTATTATCAACAAACAACATTTAAGACATCTACCAGCAAAATAAAGTTACTTTCATTTATTTACTCCTCTTTAATGACGAATTATGTATTTAACGTTTTGAACTTTTTTTACGTTCTCGTTGAGCTCTGGGCAAAATAACATCCGCGCTAACTATCCAGCCAAGAAAAATGAAACCGACATTAACAATTTTATAGTTTATTGTAAATAGTGATAATACACATTGAAACACTTTTATAGCAAATTATTCGATCAATAGAATGTTGGTAATACAAAATGCGAGTCTCCCACACAAGAGGATTTCATTATTTCTTGCCTTACTTTCATTTAAGAGAATCTATGAATTATTTTGTGAAGATGTAACAAATACATCTATGATAAAACCACAAATCATCATTGCATAGAGGATAATCAAATTTTTGAAACAATTTCCCAAACAGACACCGGCCTCTTCAATCCTTACTTCAGTCCTCCTCACTCACCATCGCACCGCCACTCTACCATCAACACGACCTTGACACGTGGCAGGCCCTGCATCTCCTCCTCCTCCTCCTCCTCCTCCATCTCTTCCAGTGTCGGCAACAGCAACAACCAAGTGGCCCACGGACATTCGTGGTGGGATGGGTGTCGTAAGTGTTTCTGCAACCACGGATATGAAATGTGTGAGTTGGTGGTCTGCCCGCCAGTCAGGTGCTCCAACCCCATTGTCTTGTCAGACAGTTGCTGCCCTACCTGTCCAGGTTCGCTATTTGTCCTCTTTCTGTTGTTTGTTTGTTCGTTTGTTGTTTTGTTTGTTTTCATTCCGCTGTTGTTGTTCGTTTGTTGTTATGTTTCTATTGGTGTTTGTTTGTATTGTTTTGTTTTTGTTGTTGTTGTGTTTTCATTGTTTTTTGTTTTTTTTTTGTTTTTGTTTATCTCCCTGTTGTTGCCGCTTGTTTTTATTTTTGTTAGCCGTGATCGTGTTGCCGGTCTTTATTTATCGTTAGTGTTAATTATTATCAATTAATTATTAAGAACTTTTAAATGTTGCCTCATTAATTTGTTTGTCCGTCTCCATTGTTGTTGTCATTGAACAACTTTTTGTTTATTTTGTTAATAAGCTGAATTTAACAAGACTACATACATTATATATGTATGTATGTATATATATATATATATATATATATATATATATATATATATATATATACTTGTGTGTGTGTATGTGTGCGTGTGTGTGTGTGCGTGTGTGTGTGCGTGAACATATATATATTAATTAGCGCTATATGAATTGTTTTTAATAATGATAGTATTCATTATAAAGTTTTTTTGGACTAACTTTTTGCCTTAACTTAAAATAGTTTGCCAATCATTTTTGTTGGGTTGTGAGAGTTGAATGAGAATTATAATTTTCCTTCGGTTTTCTGTTATAATGTAATGGAACGTGCAATAATGTTTGCTTCGCTGATGTCTGCACAGTACAGAGGATTGAAGTTTGCATAGTTGAGATGGGTTGGTCTGCAGTGCTAACGTATGAACATGAAGAAATATTATAGACAACATTTGGAAGTTTCTCCAATGAAGAACATCCAATACTAAATCATGTTTTTATTGCTATTTTTATTCTTGTTGTTGTGGTTGATTTCTAGTTCAACATTATGACGTATAAACAGCCGGTCTAACGCTGCTAACTACTTTCTCCTCATGTTCGTTTATTGTATTGTTGATTTTGTTGTTTATATTGTTGTTGTTGTTGTTGTTGTTAATGGTGATGATGTTGTTGTTGTATAATCTTGTTGCTGCTGTTGTTCATAATGTTGATGTTGTTATTGTATATGTTGTTGTTGATAATGTTGATGTTGTTATTGTGTATGTTGTTATTATATTTGTTGTTGTTGATGTTGATGATGATGTTGTTGGTGTTGATGATTATGATGATGATGATGATGAAATGATGAGGACGATGATTCTGACGATAACAATAATAAATATTGATAACAAAAAAATATGATGTAGATAATGACGACACAGGGAATGACGACAACAATAATAACAACATCAAAAATGGTCATGATTGTTTCAAATCTTATTCGATTATAGCATTTTTATTGGGACATCGTATTCAATGAACAAGACAAATACTTGCAAGCAGTTCTCAGAGCCTAACTTCAGCAGCCAAGTTGCTCTTCTAAACTTATCAACCACGGCTGTGGTGTGGCTCCTTAAGTAGGCACATCATATTTCACCGGAAAATATTCACAAATTTGTTGTTTATTACAAAATTTAATTAAATTTTCTAACAAAACTTGATATACTTCATCAATCGATGTCGAAGTTCAAATTGCCCTACATTATTCGTTATCTTGACTATTCGTTATTGATTTTTCAAAAGGTTCAAGTTATCTGGTGTGAGTGATGGAAATAACAAAGAAGATTGAGGCCAACTTGTCTTGAATTGATTATATATATTTGTTTTAACCACTGGAGTAATCAAATTGCACTATATTATTTGTTATCTTGATTATTCGTTTTCCTTGCATATTTGTAATCTTTGGATTGTGAAGGATCGGAAAAAGAAGCCTAATAAGATCCTGCAAAGACACAGTTTTCCAGCGAGGTTTGAAGCGAAGTCGTAAATATGATTCATATCGTTTCCTGGATTAGTTTAATGTTTCCATTACTGTTGGTATTCAAATAAACGTTCAACATCTATCGGAAATCTTGAACATACGCAATAACGAACACTTGACGATCGCTAAAAGCTACAACACTGGTTTTGGAAATATATATATATATATATAAAGGTTTATATATGAAATAAGGCGCCCGATGATGATGATTAGGCAGTGAGATGAACTGAATTTTTTTTCGAAGTTGGTGGATGTTCATAATTTCATCTGTGTTTCGATGTTACTCTTGTGTGCAATCGTTCATGTGAGCTTCAGAAACATTTCAATGTTGTATAGCTGCACTTTGTTAATACATCGCAGCACGCAGACTTTCGATTTAAGTGTCTTTAATTTGGAGCTGCTGAATACGATTAGATGGTCTTTCACTCAAACACTGGCTCATCCTTTGCTGAACAACGTTATGCTAATAAGCATCATTTGTCTGTTCGTTCGCTTCTATCGTTCATTATTTTTGGATGCATGCATACATTTGCATTAATCTCTGCTTCACGCCTCTTACCAACGATGAACGAACAATTTTTTTTTTTTTTTGATTTCAATACACGCACGCGCGCACACACATTCACACATACACACTCACTGCACATAAATAAATTAGAATACATTATAACAAATATAATATATATATTGTCAATATTGTGTGTGCGTGCCTGCGTGCGTGCGTGTGCGTGTTGCGTATATTTGAGTGTAAATTGTAGTTTATTTACGGCAAAATGTACCTAGTATTTATAAATGAATATCGTTAAAAATTGAGCACGCGACAGATTTTTATTTAAAACTTCAGAGACACACACAAGCAAAGTAATAAACGTTTGAAAGCATCTGCTATTAGTACAATCACACACACACACACACACGCACACACACACGCGCGCAGTGTGCATTTCATCTGTGAATGGAGGTTTCTGGGCAGATGTAACACACTTTGCTACTAAATTAATTAATCATATATGTTATATATAACAATTGATTGCAGATCGATTTTGACCTCAATACGCAATAGTACACAACGTAAAACTTTTAAACGTAAATGTTATATTTATTTGTGAAGCATGCTGCCCATAGCGTACACACACGCGCACACGAGCATGCGCACGCACACAAGCAAACAAGCACACAATACACTTCTGTTCAGTGATGCACAGCAGCCATTGCTTTCCAACCGTTTCCAACTCACGGCAGAGCAATCGGTTAACTGTTGATGGATCCCTGAAGGGTTACCCGGTTCAATTGGTCCCCGGTTCAATTGGTCCCCCGGTTCAATTGGTCCCCCGGTTCAATTGGTCCCCGGTCTAATTGGTCCCCGGTTCAATTGGTCCCCGGTTCAATTTGTCCCCCGGTTCAATTGGTCCCCCAGTTCAATTGGTCCCCCGGTTCAATTGGTCCCCGGTCCAATTGGTCCCTCGGTTCAATTGGTCTCTTGCCCGGGCACCATCAATTACTTTCCATTTCTCTTTTCACAATTCATTCATAAATTATTGTATTGTGTGCGTATACAGGAAATATTCAACATCGCATCTCTCGAGTTTATTTTACACGGCATTTTGTTGATGAGATGCTGATGGGATAACGCAGAAGATTGTTGTAGCTCACGTGTGTTTCTGCGGTGGCAAATTGTCAAAAACAAAATAGAAATTGCAAATTTGCAATAAACGAAAGTCGTGAGAAGAGATGACTTGTTCAACTTACTCGATGCGTGCACATCCTTCGGCAGAACATGTTTGTTCTGTGAGAAAAATATTCATCTGCGTGCGTTATATGTCTGGCCTGTTTTATTTTTAAATAATTTTGTTCTATCTACTTCTCCGATCGTCTCGTTAACTCACTGCACGCATATGCTTTATTTTTCGATTGATATCATTTCTTTCATCAGTCTGGATTAGATTAAACTATAAGCGTTCATTATGCATTTATAAATAAATCAATCAATATCTGAATATAAATATTTAAGTATATGTGCGTGCGTGTGTGTGTACGTGTGTTTGCGTGTCACTGGGTTGCGTTCATACACACTTATGCAAATAAACATCATTCGATACACATTAACCCAGATAGAAACAAATGTCGCATCAATTCGCGTTTATGAAACACCTGTCCTTACGATGTCGAGGATGAAGATGATGATGAGGAAGACGATGATGAGGAGAAAGATGAGGAGAAAGATGACGATGATATGATGGCGAGAATGATGATAATGTTTATTGACGTTGTTACCCCATACATGTTTTTTTTATGATCGTTCACATTCATCATCGCCATCTTTACAATCCCGTTGTAATTAGTAAGATCATCGTCTGTGGAAGAATGTGGATTAATTGATGATGATTGCCGTCTTGATGAGTTTTTTGAGGTAAATTTGTTAACATCTATATCTACATTTCAACCAGCCAATCAATGATCCTCCTTTGTCCATCAGGGGACCGTCGAGACCGATGGTGTACATCTGAGCATGCTTTTAACATTTCTTTTCTTTTTTTTCTTTCCAAAAACCTTTTCTATCTTTTAGACAGTTTTATTGAATTCAGAATACCAACACCAGTCCATTCAGTAATGTCATCTATCTATTTCTTTGCAGGTCTACCAACGTTTTTCTTCCAATCCCTTTTCCTCATTAATACCATCTTAATCAATCTGTCTTCCCTCATTCTACAAATGTGTCCAAAAAATCCGAATTTTTTTTCTGACTTAGTCATATACACTTTTCTATACTTTCTGCCTCCAACTGATTACTAACGAATTTCGGTAACGCTTCATCTCAAATACTTCCAACCTGTCTTTGTCACACAAGCATAAAGCAGGCTTGGAAAAACGCAAGATTCTATCATTATCAACTTTGATTTTATAAATATATTTCCACTTTTCCATATTTCCTTTAATGATGCAAACATTCCATGGGCTATTGCTATCCTTCTGTCAATTTCTTTGGTGCAGTTGATATCTACATTGAGATTATTATAAAACACACATTCCCACTCACACATCATGTACACACAAACGCGCGCGCACACACAAACGCGCGCGCACACACAAACGCGCGCGCACACACATACACACACACACACACTCAAAGTAGTCTCCTGATGTTAGATGGATGATGGATGCTGTTCCAAGCGTTCCAGACAGAATTTTACGTGGTTTTTGGTCGTTGGATGAACTATTTATTATTTGTGGCAAGTGCATTTTATGGTAACATGAATTAGTTTGGGCATCTATCAGCATGAATCAGCATGAAAACCACATTTAGAATTAATTAAACATGATATCATCATCATTACCTCCGTCAACATCAGTGTCAGCCATATAATTTTTCAAAATCAACAACCTCATCTTCGTCATCATCATCGTCATCATTTTCATTAATAATAAGCCAATAACAAACAGTCTTCTATATAAGCCACAAATCTCGTGCTCTCTCTCTCACGCACGCACGCACATACACACACAATACACCGCAATAACATTACAATAGATTGATAGGGCATCTCAGATTGAGTTCGCTTGTTTTTATCCTTCAATGGGCTTATAATCATCTACTCATTATGTTTATAAATCCGTTTTGATGAGATAACAACTTGTTTGACATCTGAATTTCTGATGCAATTGTGTTTGGGCGTAAGCTCTTTCATAAAATTTCATCATAACTTTGCACAAAAATAACACGACTAATAACATTTGTATCGCGGCAAAAACTGAACGATAAGTTCGTTTGCATAGCGTCATGTTGATTTCATAAATGTTGTCTTTCACAAAACTACATCGCTGGGTGCCTGCCGGGTGCCGGCCGGCATTCATCGCCAGCTGCCATTAATCGGTACATCACCTCTCCTACTCACATTATCTAATTGATAGTTACACGGCTAGCTATGATAATTTCTTATTTACACGGTAATTTAAATAGGTTGTTGATCTATTGAAATTAGTTTATTTATCGTAACTGCACACTGCACAGAGTTGTAGCTCATATATAGCAGTATGTTTAAGGCACTGACAGAACTCGTACTTGTAAAGGCTGACATCCTCAGATGAACGGCGTTTTATCCCACCGATGTCATGTCTACACTACATATCTTTTAAGCTGTTTAACTTTCTATCAATATTTATCATTGTTGTTTAAATTTGCTATTCTGTATATGAATAAATAAGATATCTACATTTCTATCTATCCATAATTTTTATCTTGAATTTCACAACTTTTATCATGATGTATTATTGTTATATTGTGCAAAACATTATTTCCTATGCGTTATATAATATAATAATTATAATATAAAATATATATATATAATATAATAATATAATATTTAACATCGTTTACAATTTATTGCTAATGGTGTTAATCATGTCTCATTAAACTGTAGCAAGCTATCTAATCCTTTTTTTATTTGTTTATTATTGGTCTAATTTATTTATTTGTTCTTTCAAATGTTAATGTATCAATTCATTCTGCCAGTCATTCATTTGCCTGCTTAAACGTTTTCCCATTTTTCTTACTTACCCATTCATTTGATATTTGATTATTATTTTTTATCTTTCCAAAGTCATTTTGCTTTCTTTGCGGGTTCTTCCTAAGATTTTTAGAGGCATATTCCAAAGTTTGCGTTATTTTTATTTGGGATTTTTGCATAATTTTTCCCTTACTGACATTTTAATCTTTTTATAGTTCTATTACTTCCATGCATCTTCTACCCATCTTGCACTCATCTCTGCATTTTACAGTTTGATTTTTCTAAAGAATAATTATTTACTTATTTTTTGCATCTGCGCTGCTTGGCATTCAAGTTTGGTAATGTAGTTATATTTGTGTGTGTGTGTGTGTGTATGTGTGTGTGTGTGTGTGTGTGTGTATGTGTGTGTGTGTGTGTGTGTGTGTGTGTGTGTGTGTACTTCAGAAATACACGGTTGTACTTTTATGGTTGTCATAATATTTTCTTTATTTTTGCGTTTTACTACAGTTCATTTTAAAATTGTGAACTATTAAATTTCGAAAACTTCATTATTATTATTAATTTTTACAATTTTTTTGATTTACTTCAAATTCTTATTATAGGAAGTGACTCGCCAGCCATGCTTGAAAGTTCAGGAATGTGCTTCTCAAGTGATGGTCGTTATTTTGTTGAAGGTGAAACATGGGTGTTGGACAAATGCACGCATTGTATATGCCACCAAGGAACTCCACTCTGTTCAATTGAAACCTGCCCACCCTTGCTCTGTTACCATCCAATCGCGTTGCCTGACTCCTGCTGTCTCTTTTGCCTCAGTCGGTTTTCAATTGGTTGCCTGTTTGAAAATTTTTTTAGTTGCGAAATTTGTGTGCAGCTGAAAACAAAATGACATAAATGAAATTCAAATTAAAAATTAATTACTTAGTTAACATAAAAATTGTTGATGCTTCCGTAGACACGATGGAACGTCAGAACACTCTCCCTCAAAGAAATAACACCAGCAAGGTTCAACTTTCTCAGCACACCAAAAACAGATCGTGTTATTCGGGCACGGGAGCAAAAGCCAACCACGGCGATTCTTGGAAAGTGTCGTCGTGCCAGAGTTGCGTCTGCAGGGACGGCTCCATCAACTGCTTCTCACAGACGTGTCCAATTTTGGGTTGCAGTAAGACAGTTCTTAAGAAAGGACATTGCTGTCCCAGTTGTGTTGGTTAGTTCTTTTAAGTTTAAAAATATACGTAAATATGAAAAATTAATTGACTTCTAACTTCTGTACATGAAATCAGAAAGATCGATTCTGTACTGCGTGTACAACAACGTGACGTACGACAACAGCGAGAGCTGGTTGATTGACGAATGTACGACTTGCGCTTGCATGGACGGACAGATCCTCTGCACGGTGTCCATATGCGAAGCTCTCTCCTGTCACAAAACCGTGACCGTACCTGGAAAATGCTGTCCAGTTTGTCAGAGTAGCTGCTTACAATTTCATTGAAAATTGAATTTATATTTAAAATTAAAATTTATATCGTGTTATTTATAAATAAAAAATAATTTTACTTTTAGCCAAGGAACAACCTTCCTATTTTGGAACTAAAAATGGTTAGTTGACTTGAAATTAATAATTTTAATTACAATTAACAAACTGATAAAAATCATCCAGAGTCGACGCATCCTTTGAACGTCACCCTCATTGTCGTCCTCGTTTCCATCATCGCCATCCTCGCCATTGCCATTATCGTCCTTCTGGGCATGTTACTGTGGCTGAGGCCGAGACTGAGTAGACATCTGAGAAGAGCCTCCAGCATCACGTTACCTCCCTCCATGCATTCATTGAATCCTCTCAATCTCTTTAATCATAGACACGATCATCAGCAATTGAACGATGAAAAATCCGTGTCGTCGAGCTTACTACCTCTTAGTCCTGTTACAGGAATGATTGGCAATAACAACAACGTTAGTAATAATAACCAGTTTCAACAAAAACAGCAACCGACAGTTGGCAACTTGTTGCTGAAATATAATAAGGAAATACCATCAAAACTTCGTTTGTCTATAAACGAGTCACACCCTTATGACGCTCCTTCGTTGAGTGCTGCTGTTTCCTCAATGACAACTGCTTCCCTTTCTTCGTCATCTTCCGCCGTTAAAAAAAGACTTTCATCTTCCGACGGATACAGCGAAGAACGTCGCAATGTCATCGAAAATGTCAAAAACGATACCTCCCATTTCAATAAAAACATCAGTGAAACTAATCCTAGTCCAAATCACGACTTTTCATGCAACGCCAACGTCACCAACGTGAGTGGAGATTTGGTCAAACCGATAAATTTGCCTCCATTGCCTCCAAGAATGAAACCGATGATGTGCAGCGACTCGAACGAACCGTCGCCGATCCACCAGAACATCGATGGCAGGGAAGTTCTCCAACTGGATTCAGACGACAAAACAGATAAGGATGATATGAACAATCTGAACAACGATGAATACGATGACCACGTTTTGAACATGATGGAAAGCTACAGCAGCTTAAACGGTGACAATATATTGGATGTTGTAGTCACCGACGGTCCTGTTGATAACAACAGAGCCAACAGCATCTTTAGATCGCCACTTAAATCCAGTAGATTTAGTGATCTTGATAATGATCTTACTCGACATTTACTCAATCCATCTCCATCTCAAGACATCCAGACGAACGCCGATAACTTAACGAGTAACATAAATTATTCGAATAATAAAAACCGCAACAGCAGTAACAGCAGGGATAACAAGATGTCCCTCAGCAATCGTAAAAGTTGGTGAATAAACTTTCGGGTCTCCATCAAACAAACAAGCCATCTAGTTGGTACTGTTCATATCGTATAAACACATTTGTATACTTATTAATAAACATAAACTTGTGATTATTACAAAACGTTGACAAGGTTCGGCTGACTGACCGAGATGTATAAATGCAATCTTATTACATATACAGTAATATTATTTTTTTTTTTTGACAATCAACATCAACAACGTTAATAATGTTTTAGTAAACATTGTAGTCTAATGTAACTCAGTGCCAAGATTCACTGATGAAGAAATTTGTCATGTGAATGATTGGTAACTAAACCAGTCAAATATCCACAGTAGTCATAATGCATCGACCTCCTCCAAGACCTTTTCCACTTTCCACCATCACGTTGTTATTTTTCCCCCTACAATCTGTATTCTTGACTTGATAAACAGAATGAATAAACTTAATCGCAAGCATACATTCAAATTTCATTCACGCCAAACTATTTTGCAAGATGCCAGATGTCAAGAATCAACACGAGTTTTGAATGAAACGTCAACAACAACAACAACAACAACATAACTTGTTTAATGACTTGTTTGGTTTGTTAATCCAAGATTAGAACATGAACTAATTCGCTATCTTTCAATTTTATAAAACTGTAACGAAATACATTAACTAATGTATTTACTTTGTACATATTATATATATATTTGTATGCATGTATGTATATTATATATATATATATATATACGTTTTATATAGTTTGTGTTAACCTAGTTATACGGATGAAGTTACATGTACTTAAAAACTTGCATAAACTCACATAATTATAATATCAAAGAGTTGAGTAAGAAGAGGATGTCGTGACTTTGCGTCAGTGCTTGCGTACCAGCGTTTATAAGATTGAGCAATACTTTATAATGGTACGGTTGTAACTTTTGTAAGTTTGTGATCATGTCATGAGGTGCTGGATTGCAATCTGCCGTTACTATTTTTACGTTTATTTATAGTTTGTTTCATACATATGGATTGATGCATATACATTTTATACATACATATGATACATATGGATATATATATAATACTTGATTGATGTATATATATATATATATATATATATATATATATATATATGTAAAGTTTGGTAGTAGTTCTTCTTGTAAAAATATTTAATTGAAATCGATAGCTGCGATAGCATTATTCAATTTTTTCTTAATTCTTTCAAGATTATATATATATATATATATATATATATATATATATATATATATCCATCAGATGAACAATCTAGTTGGCACTGTTCACATCACATAAGCACATTTGTATACTTATATATATATATATATATATATATATATATATATATATATATATATATATATATGACATTGACTGTATATATATACACATATGCTATATATATATACACATATATATATACATATGTTGGTAATAGACCATAATTATAGAATATTGTAAATATATATATATATATATATGTTGGTTAAAGACTATATATATATATATATATTCATATAAATATACACACAGATATATATATATATATATATATATATATATATACAAAACACAGTATTCAATTGGAGGGTATCAGTTTATATTCGATCACACACAACAGTCAATTAGTTTGATCGGTGTTGTCTTAAGAACGGTTTCTTCGTATCTCATTTGCATTTGGACTTATTTTATATAGATTTATGCGAACAAAATTAAGGCTTTAAACGTTAAATCATTGTTACAAAGACTTGACATTCAAATTTAAATTTATCCATTAACAAAAATTTTATTTTTAACAATTCCATTACGTAAATGATATTAAATTTATATCAAAACGTATTTTAGGCGTTCAAAATTTCATTTCTCAGTCTAAATTTGACCACTTTGAGCAATTTTATTTATTTTTGTATCATTAAAACATCTAAGAGATTATTATTAACATTGACTGATTCTAGCTTATGCAAAAAATTATGCTGCACCGTTTCTATCCTTTGTTCTTTTGTTAGTCAAAATTTTGAGCCACTAAAGGCCATGACTCGGCTTGATTCAAGCCACATTATAAGCGTGTCAATATATTTATTTATCTATGTTTGCATGTATTTACGTATTAAACAATTTCTATGTACTTTTTTAATGTTACGTTTCTTATTTGTATAGATTATTTCTTTATCAAAATTGCTAAAAATGTACCCGTATTGTGCAAAAAACGTCTGTTTTTATACATTTATGTAATTTTAATTATATGTGGACAATTTTTAAATATTCTTTGCCACTGTCGTACGAGCTTTCAAGGTTTCAACCTTTAATGCTACCCTGGCCCAGTAGCTAGCTTAATAAAATGATAAGCATTAATAAAGAATAAACAATATAACGTATGAAACCACTAAAATGCGAGGAGTTGCACGAGGACAAAGTTATAACAAGGGGATGAACTCACTCGCGTTTTAAATTTATTTATTTACATAAGATGAATGAATGTTTGCGGAAACTGAATGTTTGCGGAAACTGAATGTTTGCGGATTAAATCTCTAACTATCAATACACGCTATGTGATATGCTATGATGAGAGGAAACGACAATGATGAATCGTACTGAATGGAAACGGGGAGGCTACAAAAATAATGAGATCATAAAGGCAAAGATATGAGATCATCAAAGTGGGGTCAATCTGAACCTCGCATACCTTGACGCTTGCTATCATTTAGATATTCTTGAGAATTTGACTTGTCTAAAGTTACTGTCAAATTTAGCAATTGAGCACAATCGGAAAAAAAACGGCCTAATTTTCGACGCGATGAAAACATTCTCACAGCACAGCAGACTGCTAGCATTTAAGGCTGCAAGGAGGAAAAGCTATCAGCTGCACCACTCTCTTTGTCCTGGTTTTTTTATCTTTGGTCGGTCTTTGGAAGAATATGTCTGCCCTGCCTGGGCGTCACTCACTGAAAGTGACTAAGTTCTCTGCACAGCATGGCTGCCAGGTCCGCGGCCGAGTCGTACAACGCCCCCGTGTTGCTCAATGGATGACCTTCACCTTTGCCTGCAATAGATACCTTAGGAGAAACACTTTTCCAGGCAACGAGAACTCTGGCCTAACTTCGTTCAGGTCATTGCATCTTCCTTGGCAGCTACAAGGGAATGATCAACCGAAACCAACCGTCTTTTCAGCCGCTCGTATGTCTCCCCATCTGTTTATCTGCCCTGTCAATCTAACTACACTCTGAACAACAGTTGCGGAAATTGTTCGAAGGAGCAACAACAATAATTTAAATTTATCACCAACACGTTAAAATATATTTAAAATTTTTGTGGTTTGCTCAAGCAAACTAAAAATAATGACAGTCTCAATGCTAAGATGTAATAAAAATCAACAACAGATTTATTTATGCAGAGTAAGATGTAACACTGAACGAATATTAAATAAAAACGAAACTTTTACCTTAAAGATAAATTAAATTAATGATAAAAACGAACCTAACTAATACAAATGAAGGATTCAAACTGAGAAAGCAAACAGGGAATGCTACAAACAACAGTCTAAAAAGTATTTTGATTATTCCATAATATACAAAACAACTGATATATCGAAGATGCCACACTAGATGTACAACTTGTATCCTGATCTACAGTTCATCTTTGTTCTTGTCAATCCAGTCTTTTACTTTATTAAGGTCATTGTCGATTTCCTCTTTGTCATAATAAGGCAATTTACTAAATGGGATTAAAAATTGAGTTACTTGAATCATTTTGAATGTAAGAGCAATCAATGATTTTTCAAGAAAGCTAGTTTTGAAAAAATTAAAATTTTTTTGTTTAACATGTAAACAAGCACCACCTGTCCTCATAATATCAATTCATTGTCTGATTATTTCATGTAGTAATTTTTTAGCATAACACAAGTGTTTACATGTTAGCACAATCAAGTTTTACTTTAACACTATATCACCCAAATGAAAAACAAAATTAAATTAATTGATCTAAATTTTTGAGGCACTAACTTTCTAATAAAATGAATAATAATGATAAAAATAAAATAAAAAATAACAGTAGACTAACCTGAACAGCAGTGATGTATAACGATCCACATATCCCCCAGGCTGACAGAATGTATCACAAGCCAGTTTACATAGGTAACAATATTTGCAGTACTAATGAACAAAAACAACAATATGCTTTCTATTAAAAGTAAAACTGATGGCAAAGCATATTTTACAAAAATTATCAAACCTTGCATAAATCACAGTTTGGTCTCGTGGGGCTTTTTGTGCATGGACAATCTCTGTCACACATCTTGCAAAACTGAATTAAATGAAAAATTAAATCAGACGAAAAAAATTAGACAACTGAATCACATGGAAAAAAAACACACACACTATCATAAGTAAGATATTGTATTTACTATTAAGTTAAAAATTTAACCATCATCGTGTTGTATTACAGTATGTATGTATGTATAGTAATTGATGTATAATTTCTTAATTAATTTAAAATTTTAAAACAAAAAATTTCCAAAAAAACCTTAAATAAGTAAATTAATAAATCTATTCTACATAAAATATAAATGTTTCTGACTGAACCTTGCAGTAGGTACAGTACCCACAAAGAGATCCTTTCTTATATTCCATCTCCGGATCCTGCTCTTTGCTCAGATCCATCTCCTCCTCTCCCGCTGCTCCTTCCTCCGCACTTTTCAAGTCACCGCCATATTCGGCATCAGGACTTTCCGCCAAAGGTTGTTGGTCCTCGTTTGCAAATGAATTGCAGCATAATGACAAGATTGTACACAACGCAAATAAATAAAATTTCTCCATTTTAATAAATTTTATCGGGAAAAATGATCGCAACCAGATAAATTTAAATCTGATTAACAAATTGCGACCAATAGAAGTCTTACAGGTTGATTCGCACAAACGTTATTCGTTGATGGGTTCTTGCATTTAAAAGTAAATCTACATTATTAATTTATTATTATGATTTCTATTTTAGTCGGCAAGTGCTAAGTTGACGCAAAAGCATCCAAAAACTTTATTTCAATTTTTAATTATAATTTTATGCCGTCGCGTGTTCCATGCTACGTGCAGTAATTATTCTTTTTACTTTCAACAGTTTATGCAATTTTACAAGCTAGTTTTAGAAGATAAGTACATGCATAAAATTGCATTGTGTTCTTCTCTTCTATTAAATTTAAATCAGCAATCCTATCCACCTATGGATCTATGCAATATATATATATATATATATATATAGGTACCTATCTAAATATATATATGTATCCATAAAATCCCAATACCCCAACCCCAATACACGATGATTCAAAAATTATTTAGACAAGAGACAAAATAAGCATTGCGATGATATAATATAAGATCTTTGTTTTAGTTAAACACCTTCACTTTTCAAAAAATAACAAACTCAGATACCCTAGGTTTTTAAATTACAAAATGAGCAAACGAAAGTCAATTTCTGACTCCAGCATGCCAAATAAAGACATTGTTGACTTTTTACTGGGTCTGCTATTTATTTTTTCAGTTTTATTTATTTGATTAAAGATGTCAGATGAATTTACTTTGCGTAATAAAATTAATCTGTTTTTAGATATCTAGACCTGTGATGAAAAATAGATCTTCTATAACTACAGGCAATGTTTAGCCCAGTGGCTGCACCGAGATGAGATTCCAAAACCAAAATTGTACAACATGAAGCTAATTTTGACCGTTTTGTGGTCTGCAGCCAGCCATTAATGATTAATTTATTGAAGTTTTAAAAACCTCAAAATGTAAATAAATATAAATAAATCAATATTTCATAGTCTCCATTTGTTATGACTTGAAATATATAAATAATAAAAGTTTTTAATGAAAACCTCAATTTTTAATGAAAAGAAGTACTGCAAAAAATGATGAGATGCATCAAAATTTAAATTAACTGCCCTGGCATTGGTTTGGCACATCCTTCTCCATACCTTTCACTAACAAATTATACTTTTTTCAAAACCTTAACAGTTATTCAAAAGAGGGGAGAAAAGACACCAAAAAGCGTCTTTTTAGAGTTTGTCGCCTGCAGAACTGCTTATTTTTATGTTACCGTCCTCAATAAACATATTTCTTGTTGGAAGATAAACGTAGGCTGCGTTGTTTTGAATAGAAACCAAGAATCTGTGATAGAAGCCATTTTCGATTGAACCTTATGAAAACCAACACTATTTTTGCACCAACTCAATAATTAACTGAGCATTCTTCTACCCTTTTCAGTATTCAGTCTTTTTTGATGCATAGTTTTTTTAAGGTTTAAATTTAAATTGTAAATTAAAGTACCTTCATTTATTTTCTCAGTATTTATAAGATTTTAATATAATTCATTGAAATATATAAATAAATCAATAGTTCATAGTCTTCATCCGTTATGGGTCGGACTTGAAATATATAAATAATAAAAGTTTTTATTTTTTTGTTTGAACTTATTTTGTACAAAACTTTTAGGATTTTTTTAAAATGTTTACATTTCTTTAAATCTGTGATAAATGTTAATGATAGCATAATGCATTAATGTCTGAAGAATTCACACAACTACAGAACTTGCAAATTATGAGAAGAATGTGACAAGGCAGGTGCATAAATACAATGCATACAGGAAAGCTGCTGGCTCCGTATCGAAACACACTGCTCCAATCACAAGTGGCAAGCAAGCGAAGGCACTGGTAAAATTTTTAATATGAACATCAGTTGCCTCTTCTAACAACGTTCACATTTAATAATTTTGTCTTCATATAAAGCAAAAGTTTTACTTTGATGCTGTCGTAACAACTTAATCCATTCAACAATGATACTAGGAGTTTGCTAATCATTTTGGATCTTCATATTAATCATCCATTAATAATATTGTATTTTGGTATATACAAACTCTGTTGAAATATCTGGATAGAAGGTTCTTTAAAGAATATTGCAAAATATTTCATCATAAAATAGCAGCATTCAGTTTCAATGTTTGAAATTTTCATTGATGTTTAAATCTTTTTTCTGAATGAAGGATGGAGTTGGTGAGAAGATAGCAAAGAAAATAGATGAGTTTCTTGCTACCGGCAAGCTTGAAAAATTAGAAAAAGTCTGTAGATTTTGTCTGTAGATCATTTCATTCTGTCTTTGTCTTAATTCTGTTAGATTTGAAAATAATTGTTTCTGCAGATAAGAAAAGATGAGATGAGCACGTCCATTGCTGAGCTTACCAAAGTTACTGGGATCGGGTAGGTCCCTATCTTCATATTTTCATATCGTCATTCGTAAGATGACTGTTATATTGGAGTTTAAATTTATTTTCAGGCCTGTTGCTGCCAGGAAATTTTTTGACAAAGGAATCAAATCCATCGAAGGTTTTATTTAAAGGCTCCTTTAAATAATTCATTTGATATAAAATAATTTGATATACATTTCGTCACTCCATAATTTGATTGACATTTTCGATAAAAATTTCAGATCTCAAGAAACATGTTGATCAACTGAATCATCACCAAAAAATTGGACTGAAGTTTGTTTAACATTTGAAATCTTTTGTTCCCAAATTTACTTTTCAAGTAGATTAATTTGGATTCTATTTTCAATTTCTTTTACGATAACAACAGATATTTTGAGGAGTTGGACAAGAGGATTCCAAGAAATGAAATGCTGGAACTTGAAGTGAAGACACTTTTTTCTATATTTCAATTTCGTGGTGGAATTCTGGTCATCTTCATTACTCTTCATTATTAACGATGCTCAAAACTTCATGCCATTTATTTCATCAGTTTGATAGTAAATGTAAATTATTATTTGAATGTGAAACCTACATCCAAAACATTTTCTAACAAAAAGCAGTGTTAAATCATTTCAAGGAAAAAAATTAAATTAATTATCACCTATTTATATAAATTAACACTCATTCGAATGAATATTTTTTTTATATTTTTCACACTTTTTTCATTTTATTGAAATTTAAAAATGAACAGAAAGTCATAAAGGAAGAAGTGAATGGAGTGGATGCCCTGTACATAGCTGAAATATGCGGAAGTTTCAGAAGGGGTCAGTGCTTGCTCGTCTACCTGCTTGACTGTTTTCGTTGTTTCCTTGCATTTTCGGTTCCCACCCCATCTTCGTTGCATTACTTTTACATTGCAATACGGCATGTTGTATGCAACTTAAATTACTTTCAAAACATTTTGAAATTGTTTTTTTCAAGCTTAGAATTGTCACATTCTTGTATGAGAGGTCCTCCACTTTTATTTGCACTCCTTACTTTCCAGTTGAAAAAAAAATGTTCAATATATTTTCACGACATAAAAATTGATTATTTTTAGTGATATACTGCGGCATTATATTATTTTATTCCACTACCAATTGATTCTTTACATTTTATTAGAGATTCGTTTATAGTTTAGTTATTCAAGCATCTATGAAGTTATGCGTAGGTCACTAAACTAATAATAATAACAATAATAATAATAATAATAATAATAATAATAATAATAATAATAATAATAATGATGAATTTGAAGTGTAGGAGCCGAGATGAGCGGTGATGTCGATGTTCTCCTAACCCACCCTTCGTTCACCTCACAGTCCAAGCAACATGTTACTATTGTGCATCATTCATTGAACCACTCAAATTTCACGCCGATACATTTGTATGATTACTCAAGTTTCATCTTGATACAAGATACATTATGCAAACATTATTTATATGATCCCTCATGTTGATACCAGATAAGATGCATAAATCATTTAAATGATAACTTAAAGAGTAAATGTTGATATCAGATACTCACACTATTTATTGTGTTTCTTAAGTTTCATGTTGATACAAGATACTCACATCATATCAATGACTATATGTATATCATAATTCACAATGCATGAATGACTAATTTTTGTGACAGTTCTAGTACATTATTACTTTAAAAAAAATAGCACTATTCGTAATTATAAATTATATATAATGATAAAAATAATTTGTTCACTTTCGATATAAAATATTTTAAAATGTTGTTCATGGTCACGCGAATCAAACGCATTCAGGCTGCATTGCTCCAGGCAGTGGTCGAGCGGTTGAGGTCAGTCACATTCATTACCGATACTTTATCTTTGGGAGACACCAAGTTTATGGTTCGTTCGTTTCAGTTTTTGGATGTCATTATTTTAATGAATTTATTGGCTTCCAAATTATTAAATGAACAATTTCCTTTTATTAACTTTTAAATCATGATTTTCTGTTTTTCTGTTCAGTTGGAAATCACCGTTACTAAAGTTAATTTGCCGATTGCCTTATTTATTTCTATCATTTCAATGAATGACTGTCGTCTGTGTGCGCCAAACATTTTTGTAGCGCTTGTTTTCTTGTATTCCAAAAACATTATTTCAGGGTATATGCAAACTGACTGACGACGATGATGATGATGACGGTGGCAAGAAGCACGGCCATCGCAGATTGGATATAAGGTCTTATAAATAATTTGCCATCGTCACAGTCCTCATCTACATTCATCCTTTTCATTATCATAATCTCTTTCATCACTATCATCACTACCAACATCATCATCATCATCATCAAAGATTGATACCTCACGACCAATACCCATGCGCTCTCCTCTACTTCACTGGTCAGTTTATTATTATTATCATTATTAATATTATTATTATTTTTAGTTTATTATTATTTTCAATTGATTATTAAATATGCTATTGACAGTGGTAACTAATTTTATTTTATCGTGTAATTATTAAAGGAGACACGCACACACATATATATGTATATTATTATTATTATTAGATTATTTATATATAAAGCGCCCTTTATTGTTCTCAAAAGCGCTAACAATGTAAAAGTTGATTAAATGCGCTAATGCAAAAGTTGATTAAATGTTTCACTTCAATCAAATCATATCATGAAAAGTTTGTCTGGAAAGATGGTTCTTTAGCTTTCTTCGAAATTTAGTAATTGACAACCCACGATTTCGCAAGTCGACCGGCAAACTGTTCCAAATGTTCGGTCCCATAACAGCGAAATCTCTGCAACCAACAGCAAGCTGAGTTTGTCGAATTGTTAACAAATCTAAATCGTTTGACCGTAACTTCTGACACTGTAACGGTGCATTTCTTGGAACAATTCGATCCATTAAATATCTCGGCGGTAATCCATTAATGCTTTTATACACCAGTAGGGCAATTTTAAAGACAATTCTTTGTTGAACGGGCAACCAATGAAGATTGAAGAGAATAGGAGTAACATGATCAAAATATGAACCACCAGTTAACAACTTGGCAGACCGATTTTGAATTAATTGTAACTGTGCAACATACTTTTTGGGTAAACCGTAGAATAAACTGTTGCAATAATCGATCCTCGAGTGAATGAACGAGTGAATTAAACATTGCAATGTATGCATATTTAGAGATCCTTTGATGAGTCTCAATTTTCTCAATTGGTAAGTACATTCTTTCAACAACAACTTTATGTGCAATTGCATTGTCATGTTTGTATCAAAAATAAATCCAAGATTTCGTGCTGATGCACAAAATTCGATGACAGATTCTTTTATTCTGATAGTGTTGATACCCACTCTATTCACTTGTTGCCATGTACCCACAGGCAAAAACTGGGTCTTGCATTGGTTCAACTTTAATCTTTGCCCCATCATCCAAACATCAATGGCTGATAAACACGATACTAAATCATCGACCACATCACCAAACGACGAGGGAGAGGAGTTGGCTATTATTCGGATGTCGTCAGCAAATGCATGAAACCTGAAATTGTACGACTCAATTATTGTGTAGACATCTGCTGTATAAAGCAAAAAGAGAATGGGACCTAAGACGGAACCCTGTGGTACACCGTATGACAAAGCATCGACAGCTGCCAAATTTGTTTTGAATAAAATTTGTTGAGTACGACCAGCAAGGTACGGCACGAACCACTTGTGAACGACTCCCGATAGTCCAAACGTTTGCTTCAGTTTTTTGAGAAGCAATGCATGATCGACGCAATCGAACGCCGAGCTCATGACCAAGAGAGCAAGCAATGACACATTTTGTTCGTCCATTGATGAATACAACCTTGACGAAACATCAATTAAAGCCGTTTCCGTTGAGTGAAACACACGATAACCCGACTGGTGAACCGGCAGAAGATTATGAATTTTCAAATGAGAAGCAAATTGTGATAAAACGATTCTTTCAACCAACTTTGACAAAAACATAAGGTTAGATACAGGTCGGTAATTTTTTAACTCATGTCTATCAAGAGAATTCTTCTTCAAAATCGGTGTAACAACAGCATTTTTAAACGTTGATGGAAATGAGCCAGAACTTAAACACAAATTTATGAAAAACGTTAAAAACGGTAAAAACAAATCAACAAATCTTTTAAGAATTTTTGTGGGCACACAATCAAGAAAACAAGATTTTGATGGAGACTCTAAAATGACTTTTTTTATGTAGCTGTCAGTACAGGGCGAAAAGTTTGAAAAAAAAGATTCTTCATCAAGATCACATGGAGTGAATGTTGGTTCATCACAATGATTAGTTGAATTACGAACATCATCAATTTTGCTTTTGAAAAACTTGGAAAAGTCAAGAGAACTATGATCAACTTCTGATACATCCATTACCTGTTCCATTCCAAGCAAACCGTTAACGGCATTCCAAAGACGTTTTGGTTTGTTACTATTTGATTCCACCAAGTCTTTCCAATAACAATTTTTTTTTGACAAACAAGCAATATTTATCTTTAATAGCTTGTCGCCAGATATTCTTATTTTTATCACTTGGGTTGTTCGATAAACCCGTTCTAATCCGCGACATAGCCTTTTCAAATCCCTGCACTATCCGTCGAACCAAGGGGCTAATGGAACATGTTTAGAGTTGACATAGTGTAGTGGAGCCACTTCATCAACAACCCTCCTCATCTCACGATCAAACAACACAAATGCATCATCCACGTCATCACTATCAAACGGACCACTGATTGGAGAGTTTAAAATTAGTGATTTAAAACGATGTGTATCCAAACGGTTCCAAGAGCGTACCAACCGTCTTGTTGTCAATGGTAGCCTGACACTGACCGAGAATGAAACATTAATCAGACCATGATTTGAATAAACACCACTGGGATCCACTCTACAATTAGACAAAGGAATATCAGGAGTGGACGCAACTAAATCAAGTGTGCCACCCAAGTTATGGGTAGGCTCATTAACCACGTTTGTTAACTGAAACGAATCAAATATTTCAAGCAGATTAATTGAGTGTGTATCACCAGGCCTTTCAATATGAATGTTAAAATCCCCAGCTACTATCAAACCATCACCCAATGCAAATAAATGTTCCAACACCGATGTCAGCTCACCAAAAAACAAAGATGTGACCAATTTTGAACCTGGTCTGCAAATACCAAAAACAAAAACTTTGCGACGCTCAAAAGAAAATTCAACTATAATAGCCTCGAAGGTCTGAAAAACCGGAACTTCAATTTTCCTGGCCGTGAACATTTTCTTGAAAAAAACAATAAGACCACCATGGTAAGGATCATGAGGCCTCAACACTTGCAAGAAACTAAAACCTGGCGGCATGGCCAACTGAATAGAAGGATCTTCAGGAGAACCATGCCACGTTTCACACAAAAGGAAAATGTCCAATCCACCAGATAACAATTGATAAACAACATTAAACTTTGCTATAACAGACCTTATATTAAGAAGACCAAAATTTAATACTAGATGATTGCAGTTTTTTGAAGCTTTACTATTTTCCAGCGTCCCACTTGGCCCCTCACTCGGTATAAAAAATGGCCATCATTAGCTTCTTTAGTTTTAGCTTCGGCAATCAATTCTCGCAGCTCAACGCGCTGATCACGTGTTAGATCATGACTGATTTTGATTTTGTTGAATTCACCCTCGAGAGACTTAATTTTCGAAATACTACGCATGACTCTGTTTTTGATGACAAAACTGGCGAATTTAACAATAACTGGACGTGGAGTTTTGGAATCATCAATTTTCCTCCCTTGTCTGGTGACTCTTAAAATATCATCATCCTTGATAGAGTTATCAGTGAGAGAGCGCAAAATAGCAGAAACTGAATCATTGTCCTTTCTATTAGATTCAATTAAGTTGAAAATAATGACGTTGTTTTCTCTCTCTTTGATAGTATTCACCACTTCGAGGGTACGCTGCACAACCTTGACGTCATTTTTAACCGCATCGATACCCTGTTTGACTATACCAGTCCAAGATTCATTCATCTGCTGCTTGAAATTGTCAAATGATTTATCGAGCGTATTGTCGACGCTGTTGATCTGGTTCAACCTATCACCATTTGCTACTACCAATTGCTTTAGTTCGCAAAAATCTTTACATAACGCGGTTGTATGTTTAGAAATCTTTTTAATTATCTTTTTAATTAATTTAATCTTTTTAAATCTTGTATATATATATATATATATATATATATATATATACATATATTTTTCCATATTTATAGCTACTTTATTGGCTCGTCATTGTTGTTGCATTGCCATCCGAATCTATCTGATGGTTATGAGAATAGAATCATAAACTGAATTACCATAAAAATAACTGTTACTGATCTTACCTCAATAAGTTTACAAATGCTGAAACATGAGCAAGGCATCGTGTAGTGCGTTGGTCACTCAACACCTATCCACACACAGAGCGTTCGTCGTTTATGCCTCTCAGCAGTCCAACAAATTTCCAAATTAAAGAGAGAACATTTTTACGAATTTTTCATGTCTGCATTTTTTAATTTCGGTTTTCTTTTATGAATACCATTAAAATGTTTCAAGTGATGATTTGTTTCAGCGCATTTTAGCAATGACTACATGATATTACGTATAACCTTTTTATGATGGTGATAATGTGATGACACGACAATAATGCATTGTGTTGGTTGATGATATTTTCATGATGATGTTGATGGCGATGATGTCATTATATTATATTGACTGATGACGAAGGTAGTGACGTATTCAACAAGAACATGCGTACACTGGCTCTCAGCAAGGGTTTCACCATCAACGAATACTGCATCAGACCCCTCGGAACTACTGGTTTGTTGGTTTAGTTAGTTGGCAGGTTTGTTGGCTGGTTTGTTGGTTGGTTTGTTGGTTGGTTGGCTGGTTGGTTGGTTGGTTTGTTTGTTGGTTGGTTTGCTGGTTGGTTGGTTGGTTTGTTTGCTGGTTGGTTTGTTGGCTGGCTGGATTGATTAATTAGTCGTTCGTTATTAGTTGGTTTTTTTTTTTTGATTGGTTGATTGGTTGGTCAATTGGTTAGTTCATTGGCTAACCTGCTGAGTAGCTGGTTATTTGGTAATTTAATTAATAACTGTTGTGATACATATATGCATTTTTACATTACATTTTTTTTTGATTTATATATCCATATCAATGTAGGGTTCTGAGCTTCGTACACACAAGTATAATGTTTATACTCGAATGTTTTCTTTATTATTTTTACAACTTGATATGTGAGTAGGCAGTGGCGAATCTAGAGGTGTTATTATAGGCGCCCTTTATAGGCGTTATTTGTGTTAAAAATTAGTAAAAATGGTTGTTCAAAAGTAGTGTTTTTGAAGGAAAAATAGACATTGCCAGAAAAGTTTGCTCTCTAGTCACAATGTTGGACATGGACATGGAAAAATTTAGGAAAAAAATTTGAAATTCCCCCCGGTTATCAAATAAGAAAATCTTGGCCCTTTCCCCCGTCAAAGTTGTCTAGATCCGCCACTGTGAGTAGGTACTACAAGTACTTGAATATGCTCTTAAAAACGTCACCGGCCTGACCGAACTAAGTAACCAATCACAATTATGATAATTTTTTAATTGATGTAAGTAATTTTTATGTATTCGTGCCATCGAACACAATTCTATTCCTCAAACCGCTTGTTAATGTAAATTCACTTTTTGGTTAATCTTTTCCTAAAAGGATGAAAGTAAATATAAATTTTATATTTTATTAATATAAATTGATTGTTTTTTAATAGAAATTGAATAATTATGAAATAAATATTGCAGGTGTGCCAGGTGAACCACTGGATGTAACGTGCGAGAAAGATATTTTCGATTACATTGGAATGGAATTCAAGGAGCCGCCAGAAAGGAATGATTAATTCTGCTGCGATCTCCAATACGAATTATATTCCAAACTATATCTTTTTTAAATTATTTGTAGAAATACAATTAACTTTATTACTTTTTTAGCAATTTTTTGTCTCTTGTACTGTATGGTTATTTTTTGATGAATATTATTTACAATAAACGCTTGGACGTTTCATTGAATTCTATGTCATTATGTAATTTTTAAAATGATTAATCATTAATTTATATAATGAGCACAAGTTCAATTTCAAAATTCATAAATTTATTCAGATTTGTGGTTAGTTCAGTCATTCGAACTCCTACTACTAGGGATATTTTTGATAGGGCTATGGTCAAATTTAACAATTTCTCAGAAATTTTGATTTCACTGCTGACCGTGTTGCAGCCTCTGCAGAATTGTGGAATTCGTATAAGAATGCAGGATTTAAAATGAAAATTACTAAAAAATGTGGAATACGTGAAAAGATATCATCAATTTCTTCTAAAAAACCCAAGCTTCCATCTATTTAAAGTTTTTTTCTGCCTACGCACCACACAATGCAATAACTGGAGACACGCCAGCGCAACTAGCAAATACACGGAGGAACATCTTTCCCTCCAAATTTTTGAATTCAATATAAAATTTTTAGAAAAAATAAATAAAAGTTAAATTGATCAGACCAATTAGACTTTTTTTAGAGTTAAAATGTTGTAAAATGTGTTTAAGATATTTGACTGAATGACATGACTTCATATGTTCAATAGAAGGGCAATATATAGCGTTGTCGTTATTCATCATATAATACTGCATATTTGACATGTAATGTATAAACGTACAACCGCTCTATTGTACATGTAAACATAAGATTATAATTGTATTATTTTGTGGTATATTGTGTAACTGTGTACACAAACTCAGTGTCTTTGAATAAAACAAGAATCTTAAAGTGCATTAAAGTGCATCACATAGCCAGTATATGATATATATGTGTGTTTGAATGTGTTTCTTTATTTTTATTTTCCATAAACAAATGTATGTATTCAATTGTACTGTACGCAGGCAGTCCGATGAAATTTCATTGCATGCACTAGCTAGCAGCTCATGTTGGATGCACGTATATTCATATTGTATACTAGGTAAGGTAGAGTACTTAATATATAGTATGTATATACGATTGTGCAGGTATGTTAAATTAACACTTCGTAAATAAATACTGTAAGTCTCCTACGCTTTTGCTGACAAACAAGAGAACGAACAGGGCATCAAATTGTTTAAACAAACAAACAGAAAGAAGAGGTTGGGCAAGCAAATTTTGAATTGTTTGTTTGCATCAGTCAAAATGTCATCGGTCGTTCCGTTTCGCCGATTTTTCATTCCTATTTCGGTGAGTAGCTTGGCTTTGTTTTTAATTTTAAGATTTGTTGGATTTGGATTGTATGTATTTTGTATTCCTGTATTGTAAATAATAAATAAATAATGACAAATAATACATCTTTTAATTTAATCACTTCTACATATTCAATTTATTTATCTTATTTTAAAATTGTTTGTCAGGCTGTGTTCTTGAGAAAACAACTTCAACTCACTTCCCATGTTCATGTTCAGAAGCTCATCTTTCTACAGCATGAAAACCAGCTTCCTCTTATCAACTCTGGAGTAATTTACAATTTGATTTGATTATCTTTTTTTCTTCTAATTTTAAAATAAATAAAGTGATACATTGAAGTGCATACAGGAGTGGCTGAAATTATTATTTTGAATATTAACTGAGTGAGATAGAAATTAAAATAAATGACTAAGAAAAACAAGATTACGTATGATGGTTTTTTTAATGGTTAGTAAGAAAAATAGTTGTTTCAAGACTTAGCTCTGTTTCAATAAACATCATAAAATACATTTTTTATTGAAAATTGGGTTAATTTTGGTTATTATTCTGCAAATAGCAAGTAAGGTTTTTGCAGTAGTTTTGTAATTTCAGTCCAAACATTGAAATAAAATTTTATTTAAATTTTTGGATGATATTTGATTGTAAAAATTTTATTGATTTCCAAATCTTTTATGTTGCTGTTATATGTTGTGCAGTAGTCATATATAAGCTAACGGATAATTGGGATGAATAACTCTTTCTATAATCATTGTATTAAAATTTTTGATCTTAAATTTTCACGAGTTCCAAGTATGTAAAGTAAACATCTGTTTTTTCATGCAGATTCGATGTTTATCATCCAAGGGATCATTCACTGATATTGTAGATGATGTCAAGAAAACCGGTCTGGATTTAAAGGTAAAAAATTTGCAATGTTTTTCAGTGTATTCAAATTCTAACTACTTCAATAATTGCATTGTATTGTTGATGAGAATCATGCTAGAGCAGTATAGGTATGCTTAGATCTTATCTTTTCTGTTTTCTCACTCAAATTTTCATTTTCAGAGCTTACATTTTTTGCAATTTACAATTTATTTTAAATATAAATTTGCTTTGCCGTTATGTCTGCAGAATCTTTTTGTTATTTTTACCTTTTAAATATAATTTAATTTTATTTCTAAGGAAAAAGTGGCAGAAAGAGCAGAGGTTGTCAAAGATCAACTTTCAAATATTCCAGGAAAAATGAAAGAAGTATATCATAAATGATTTTATTCTCTATATTATTATTTGAGTATCAAGATAATAATTGAAGGCATAATTTCACTTTTCTCAATTACATTCCTACTAACATGCACATCAGGATAGGGATGTGAATAAACCTTATATGCATTTTGTATGTTTATGGTATATGTTTTATATACCTAAATACACATTTGAACACATCTAATTCAATTGTAAATCCAATCCTTCGCCACATGGGTATAATAATCAAAGTTTAAATTAATTGCATGAGATGAAGATGCTAGATACATCTCAATGCTAGCTGCTCAATTGAAATTTAATTTGAAAACGGTCAATAAACACTATTTTATCAATAATTCAATTTTTTTTATTTTATATTGTGTGTTTTATTGTTTTCTCCACTGTTTCTACCAACTATTTTCACCTTCACCTTGACCAGTAGAGCTCCAATGCCCCCCTAGAGAATGAAATGGCCCCCAGGTGGGATCACTTTGGGAAATGCTGTTTTAGACTCAATGTTTTCGTTTTGTTATCATAGATTTTATGAGATTTTCTCTGACGAAATTTGTAGCAAATTCAGAACAAGCCTTTTTTATTTTGTATATTATAATTTATTTTAAGACAATGGAAGCAGTAAAAGATTCTGAAATTTCTAAAAAGGGAAAAGATTTTGTGGAGAATGTAAAAGGAACTGTGATTGAAAAAGCGGTAAGCTTTCATTCATCAATATTTTTGTATCAATTTGTAAATATTGAAAACAATAGTAGTAGTAGTTGTTGTAGTTGTTGTAGTTGTTGTAGTAGTAGTAGTAGTTGTAGTAGTAGTTGTAGTAGTAGTAGTAGTAGTAGTAGTAGTAGTAGCAGCATTAACGCTGTTCTGGAGGTTATCCAAAGAGCATGCTGTCAGGCATGCTAGCACAGCTGATTCGTTGATTGATTGTTGTTCATCCAACAATCAATGCCTGCTTTAAATTTGTTCATTGATTGTGTCTCAACAAGTTCATCTGGTAATGAGTTCCAAGTATTTGCGACTCTATTGAATAAGTAATTCTTTCTGCCTCTGTCTTTTTAACTCTTTAAAATACTTCAAACTGTGACCTCAGGTTTTGGTGTTGACTATGCTAAAACGATTATTTAAATCAACTTTATCCAAACAATGCATGATTTTAAACAACTGAATCAAATCTCATCTTTTTCTTCTTTCCACCAAGGTTGTTAATCCTAATTTTTTAAGACGATCTTCGTAAGCTAGGTTTCTTATAAATGGAACCAACTTTGTCGCTCTTTGTTGCTCAATGTTTTAATTATTTTGTCAAATAATAATTTACTTCTAAAATAAATGTGCTTCAGTCATGTTCACAAAAGCTTTTTATTATTTTGATCCATTTTAACATTACTTAAAAAATTAAGATGAGCAGTAAATTGGAAAATAATTTTTTACTCTTAATGTGCTATCTTTTAATCTCGTTTCCTAAGGAAAAAGCGGCTGAAGGAGCAGAGGCTGTTAAAGAGAAAATTTCGAATATTCCAGAAAATGTGAAAGAAGTACGTCACAATTTTATGCATCATGTGTATCAAGATAGAAATTATTTCATTTTTAGCACTCTCAGTCCAGGGAAGTTTAGACTAGATGCGCCGTATTTCGCACCTAACACCATTGGAAACAGTATTGATATCACACAATAATTATGTTTTTCACATGAAATCTTTTTTATCATTTTTATTATTATAATAATGCAAACGCTTCAAGGTCAATGTTGAGGTTTAGATGCTATAGTTTAATTCCTATATTAACATTTCATTCTCATACTTATTGCTTTCCCAACTGTGTTATTAGATATTCAATTATGCTGCTATGCAACAAATAAGAAGATTCCCAATTACAAAAAATTCATTTGTTTCTAGACATTGGAAGTGGCAAAAGATTCTGAATTTTCAAAAAAAGGAAAAGAGTTTATGGAGAACGTCAAAGGAACTGTGGTTGAAAAAGCAGTAAGTAGACTTTCATTGTGGTATCGATTTTAGCATAAACTCATAAAAAATATTAAAAAATTGGAAATATATTAATTCTTGTTAAACCGCTATAGAAAAACTAATAATAATTTTCTATGTTATGGACATTCAGCTGAAGCAAAATCTGCCAATAAGGCGTTAGATAAAGATTGATTCAAAATTTGCTATTTTTTTAAAAGTTGATATGTTTATTTTTGAAGCTTAACTTTTATTTCTTTACAAATCATTTGTAGCTGGTTAAAAAATTTGATTTTTACAAGTTATTTACATTACTTTTTGTAACATTTACTTCAGAAGTTACTATTTTTACTATTGATGTGGTAAATTTTAAATTTGTTTCTAAGGAAAAAGCAGCTGAAGGAGCAGAGGCTGTCAAAGAGCAACTTTCAGACTTTCCAGGTAAAGTGAAAGAGGTATGTCCTGATTGGTTTTATGCTCTACGTCAATATAATTAAATAATATTTTTGCTAATTCTGATTTAACTTCTATTCTCATAGCTAATATTTTGGTATGTGTCAATAATTTTGCTGGTTGTTATTTTTTGGAAAGAATTGTTTCTATCCACTTTCTTTTTTTTTGAAATTGAGTGGCTGAGATTCTAAAGAGTTGGCACTGCCAGCATATGAATTTTTTTAGCATGCACATTTGGAGTTGTGCATTACGGGATTGCATCTTGATTATCATGTAATAAATTTTCAAAAGTTCGGGAGATGGTGGTGTACAGGTGTAAGCACTGTTGTAATCAGCATAATTTTATAATTTATAGATATTTTCTAAATTTAACAGACCTTTGAAAGCATCAAAGATTCAGAATATGCCAAGAAAGGATGGGAAGCAGCTGAATCTATCAAATCAACTGTGGTCAGTTTTATCACTTACAGTTAGAATTTATTTTTTAGTCAGCTGTTGCATCACCATTATTAACATTTAAAGACATTTATTCAAAGTAGATGTGGGATGGAATTTAAATTTGTTACCGATTCTCTCTTCCGAACCAATTTGGTTGACAGTATTGATTGCGATATGGATTGTTTAAAATTTTATGAAAACATATTTTACATTCAGCGACGTTTAAAAGTGTGTAGGAAACCAGTCGTCTGATTGGATAACGTTTTACACATAGCCGAAAATTTTAGTTTTAGATGGCCGGTGGTGGTGAAATTTTTACTAGTTTTCGTCACTTTTGATGAATGTATTTTCGATCATATTTGTGGAAAATGTGCCATTGTAACTGATGACTTTTTTTTATCTTTTCCGGTAATATTATATTCAATGTTCAAAATTTCAAGACACTTCGGCAGTAAAATGTCTGAAACGTCACTGCTTGTAATTAATTATTTTAATAAATATTCTGGTACATGTCGTTGTTTTTGTTTCGCACATTTATTATTATTCACTTTTTTTAATAAAATGGGATTGTAACCTATTATTAAATTTTTAACTTTTGCAGCAAAATATTGGCGAGGCAGTGACCAAAAAATCAGAAAAAGTTAAGGAACAACTTGCAGACATGCCTGAAAACGCAAAAGAGGTTTGTCCAAGTATTTCATTTCAATGTTTGTTTAAAGAACATACGTAATTGTGTAGTTGTTGAAAGAAAATTGCTTGCTAATAACTCTACAGAAATATAAACAAGCGATGGAATCAGAGTACGCCAAAAAAGGTCGCAAGTTTGTAGAGGATACAAAGGAGAAGATGTGGAAGGATAAGAAGCACGGGAAGAAGCACAAGCACCGTGATGATGATTGATTGTTAGTTCAATCTAGTTATTGGTTCAATGCGTTGTTTGTTAGTTTGTTGCACCAATCTCTTTTGCTTTTTGTCATTAGTTGCTTTTGAACATATTTCGTAGATTTTCATTCATTTTTGTTGTGGTTTTGTTATCAATATTGTTTTGAAACGATTAAGTTAATCGTTATTATAAGCTTAACTCACAACACCAATCAGTACTAACTGTGTACATTATCATCAATGTATGAGCTTTTTTAAATACTGCAATCATCATCAACCCCAAATTGAGATAGCAACCGTCATTTCAAATGTCAACGTCTTGCGTTATATCATCATCATTATCATCATCATGTACGCTGGCTACTTTTTTGGTCATTTGAATTCTGAAACTATCATCATTTCAGCATCAAGTTTGAATTTATGCGACAGAGAAGACAAAAATTAACATGTGAAATGTAATGAATGAATATATCCAAAGCCTTCCATCACATGCCTTTAGATTTCCTAATGAAATTTTTAATAGTCTTTAAATATTTTCTTTCCTTTTTTACTTAAATGTTTAAAACCTTCTATTTTGTCGTAAAATGTTTGGGCCCATCTATATTTGTTAACAACCCTGAAAATAAATAAATCCATGAACAGGATAGGGCTAAATTATTCTATTTTTTTTTTTAATAACATTATTTTGTCCATATTTTTAAGTTATTTTTGACAAACTTTTATACCGGTATATTATATTTGTTCGTCGTAGAATCTCATTCATAATTTAAACGTGCTTGCGCTTAAACCAAATTAACATCTGCATTAGCCTAATTCTATATGTTTTTTCAGATAATAAAGTTATTTATTTTCATACTTTAGATTTTTTTTATCTATTTTTTGTTAACGCTTGAACTGTTATAGATTTTTAAGTTGTTAAACTACTGAGTTAATCTGCAGACGACCATGCCGAGAGATAAGATTGGAATTTTAAATTAAATGTTGTCTTGCGTTCTAAGATAAAATACATACCGCTTCTTCATCATATTTTGCATTTTTTAAATTTTACTTTCAAATAAATTTAATTTACCTTCTGTGTTTTTATACTTTCATTTGAATATTTCATAAAGTTGATTAATTTAATTTGCATTAAAAATTGTAACATTGCATTAAAACAACTTGTAACATTACAACTTGTAACACAGCTTGTTTGAGATGTGATTTTCAGTTCTTAATCTAATTCGTTGAAATTTGCTTCAATGTTTTTATGTGGAAGCAACTTATTACACAAGTCCCATGGTACAAGGTCAAAAAAAGTTAATTAAATGTTAAATCTTAGACATTGTTTCACTTTTTCATATAAATTTTTTGAATAAAATTGTAGCTTAATATTATTTTCGTTTCAATTCTAACTGTAGTTTTGCGTTAGAAATCATATAAGTTCGTATATTTTATAACATAATTATTATATTTCTAGTTTAAATTATTTGTGTTGTAATAAGAATATTTTTTAGGCGTAATTTCAAACATTCTTCTCTTACCCAGTTTATCCAAGGTTCACTTGCGCAACACGTGTAACACTTCATAAAAAATATTCTTACGTCTATATTATGTTTCAAAAAAGATGAAGTTAAATGTGAATAAAAATAAAAGGGTATTCAAAAAAGTTGTGTCGCAAATTGAGGTCTTAGTCTTTATTAGTCTTAGTTTGCCTGAATGCATTTGTTGAATTTAACCGATGAGATCTTTAATAAAGCGTTTATAATTTTGAACTTTCATTAGTTATTTCAAATTTAAAATCAAACAACACAAAAAAAATTAAAAATTATAAAAATTGGTCGAAACATGTGCAGTGCGAAAACCACTAACAAACTTTGAACGTCAAAAGTACAAGCCAATCATTTTCGCTACTCGTTACACGACAAGGTAAATATTTTATTTCTTCGTCACTTCGTTAGTATTGATCTTTCTGCAGTTCTTCCGCTGAAATGCACTTGAAATATTTGAAAGTGTAACACGGGTGGTTCTCAACTTTCTCAAAATGTAGCTTTCAATTGTAGTAGCTCTTACATTAATCCAAAATCTTTACTCAAGACGCTTTTTTCAATTTAAAAAAGCTTTTGAAAATTTGGTAAAGATTTTTTCTAGAAGCTTTGTTAATAATAATTAAAAACAAATTATATTAACCTCACATAGCAACTTCGTCATCGAATTGATTTATTATTATTTTCATTAGGTTAAGTAATAAACATTTAAAACTAAACTATAAACCAAATGGATTTTAATTTTATCCAAAACATTACTCGTCACAAATGACATCATCGTCATCGTCGTCGCCATTGATGCTATCAACCAGCTGTTTCTCTTCTTCGTCTAAAACATCATTTTCAATGATGATGCTATCATCAGAATCTTCGTGATCGCATCCAGAATATTCGAAGCATTTATTTTCTTTTGCAAAATTTTTCTGGTTTATATTATTGACTGTTTAAAAATTGTAACAAATTTTGTTAAAATGTTAATTGCATCCTTCTTATGCGATAATGTACACTTCTGTAGTATTTAAATAAATAATAATAGAATCAAAACCCACGATAAAAAATGTTATAATTAACCTGTAAACATTTCAAGTCCAGTTTTTAAAGGTTTGTGGTGTATTCTTTAGAAATTAAAAAAATATATAAATTTGTTTTAAAAGAAATAATCTCAATATCAAAACTGAATCGGAAATTGTTTAGTAAAAAATTAAAAATTTAGGTTATTAATTAGCCTACTCGCTATCGTGGCTTGTTGGAGAGGAATCCCACAGGAACCTGCTAGCATTGTCTTCCTCAACGTTAACCTCACTCTTACCGTTGTTAGATTCATTTAAATGCAAAAATTCGCTAAACGTTTCGTTAGAATTCTGAACAAATCAATAATCGTCAAAATTTATTTATTCATTCATCTGCCTATAGGCCAAAATATTAAAAATTAAGTTTAGACACAATATAATAGAGCATTTGCAAATTGATAAGCAAATTAACATTAAAACACTGGAGAAAATTGCAGCGATATACCAACCAACCATGAAATCATTGGAACTTTTCAAATTTTTTTCGAATGACTCCTTCAGTAAGATCAGTTTCCTATTAATATCTTGCAATTTTCTGTTGTATCTGTTCTCAATGATTTCATTTCCAGCTTTTGTATCGCAGTCTCCATTTCCAACGCAGGCGACATCATTGCTGTTTATCATAAGTTGTGATATAAGGTTGTCTGAGTTTTCCTTGTCGCGTTCATTCAAAACGTCATCATTTTCGATTCTAAATTTACTCTCTATGCTACTTCGATTGTTACAAACAGGTTGATATGGATTGGACTTCAATTTTTGAAATTTTGCTTTCTTTTTACCCTCATACTGTCGTAATGTGAACACACAGACAACGTAAGTTTATATTATATATATGATACACTGTATATATATTCTTATATATGGTTTAAATCAATAACAGATCTAAACTTATATATATGGATCTAAAGTATTTATGTTAAATAGACAAAAAAAGGCAAAACAAAAATATGATTAATTATAGCTACTATGACGATGTTAAACAACATCAACCAAGAACCAACTACACGCACCAATCAGCATGCACCAACCAACCAGCAGGCACCAACAAGCAATGGTCAACGACCGAACCAATGAAGAATCAACACGAGCATCCATTCACCTGCCACTCACCAAGTTCGAGAGGTGACGTTGTTGCTGTTTTGGGTTGAGTTTTCTTTCTGATTGATATTTTTTCAGCTGGTCGTCTATTTCAGACAGACGATTTTGTTGTTTCACGTCAAATGTAAATGCTTCAAAATGATTAACTGAATTCTTCGCCTTATCATCCTGATTGTTTATATGAAAATTTAAGCATAGATGCCTCCAATACAGTCTTCATAACATTACATGTTGGCTACATTAATATTAACTAATTAATTAAATATTCTGCAAAGCTAGAAGATCTCCGTAATCAAGCAAACTATATATATATATATATATATATATATATATATATATATATATATATATTTGTAAGAGTTAAACAGAATATCGCAAAAAATTAGAATTTGATGCGTATTTTCCATGATTTAACATCATTGGTCAACCACCGACATAACGCCCCGACACGACACTACACATTATATTTTTATATAAACACAGCAATCACCAAAGTTTTAGGTTTCTATGCTGTTCAAGATATTGTGAGTACTGAGTAGTAAGTAATCAGCGTTGTATCGCAGAAATTTGTTTAAGCATTATTTGATGAGTCGTATTTTTTTCATATTATTATTCTGAATTTTGACATCAACCTATAATTTAGATTCTCTCAATTGTTTTATTAATTTTTAACTTTTATTCATTTGAGCCTTGTTAACTGAAAATGTTAAACAGCTAAAAAAACTCATGAGAACCATTTAGTTGAATGAACAAATTTAAAAATAAAGACAAATTATAAAAATATAAAAAAGAGGCAGAAACATTGAAAAGACCGACCCCAGCAGCACCAATGTCCTGAATAAAATCGTGGTAGGATTCAATGGGATCGTCAGATAACAGAACTTCCAGCCTTAACTTCTCTGAATCAGTTAACTGATTATTGACATCAGAATGAAGCTTTAGAAGGTTTGTGAATTTTAAAACTGTTAAATTTAGTGTGTCAGAATCAATAACATTGGAGTTGTTATTGAAATAACATTTAACAAGCTTGATGTTCGTATGTTCGTATTAATGTAATATAGCATTCTGTAGAGCGATGACTGACAGTTGCTTAAAACTTTAAAGCTTACATTTGCAAACAAATGTTTTGGATATTTTTTTGGAAAGGACTGGCAGTCTTAGAAGAGCTGGAATGTTGAGGGAGGAAATTAACAAATGACAGAAGTTGTTTGTTAAACTCTGACTTTTTTATTAATATGAAAAGTTATCATAATAAATAAATAAGTTAAAGCCTGTGCATTTAAGATCTGAATTGTAATGAATGTCATTCTGTTCATCAGCCAACGCATTAAATTAAAACGCGTAATAATTTTAAGTTTAATCAGTCTAAAATTCTAAAATAAAACAAATCTGCCAAACTTTGAAAAAGGATTAAAAAATCCTGAAAGAGAGAATAATCAAGTGAAAATAAAATTAGATATTCAGGAAGGGTTTAGCCAACGTCAGTTCTCAATAGATATGCGGAATGGCACGAATATGATAATTGATCGTTTACGATGTGACCGTTTACGATCTCGAAAACATATTTGTCAAAACTCCAGGCATTTACCAAAAGTAACACTAAACATTTAAATGTAGGAACCTTTGAAACCATATTTTTTTGTTTGCAGTAGTGATTTAATCATGAAAGCTGATTAAATTTTAAGATTTTTGAGGAAGTACGTTATCGTCAAACATGAAATGGTCGGTATAGCGGAATGAATGTTAAAAAAAATAGAGTAGATGATAAGAGGACAGTTAACAGAGTTAACTTAATTTTAAAAGTCAATAAAGAAATAATTCACTCAATTTATTTATTCAATTATAAAACTGAATAAATTAACGAAACACAAATTTTTAAAACGCAATAACTTACCGGACTAGTACATTTTTCCAACATTTTTTTGTCTATGTTTTGAGGTAAATTAGTGAATAAAAAAATTATCCTGAACAATCATATTTAAATTATTGCATTGGTTAGGCCAAACAATTTTTAAAAATTTATATTCAATGACACTTTAAAATTATTTATAAAATTTAATATCAGTTTTACTCCAAGTACTATAACTGTTACATAATTTATAGATTAGCAAGCAATGAATAGACACAACGTAACAACGTTTCCAATTACAAATTGATTTTCAACTTGTTATACTTTCAATCAAAATTTTCAAATAAATTTTTTGTAGAAAATATAAACCTGTACTGATTTCGGCTTCTACGTTTTTTCTTAAAATACACTGCCTTGAAACATCATTACATTCACCATTGATACTGCTATCAAAAGTGCATGTTTTAATTTTTCTTGATGATAGTGGATACGTTAAAGTACACTTCTCTAATATGGAAAAAATTGTGTTGTATTCAAACATTTTGAAAATGTAAAACAAAAAACATTGATGTAGACAAACTTTCCAAATAATTTTGAAAAAAAATATTGTTCGAACCCACGTTACGTTCGGAAAGTGACGGAAGCGATGTTGTTTGAGATCTTTGAAAATTTTTATGTGTTTCTTTTTTAGTCTCGCTTCAAAAAAGCGTTATAAAATATTAACGCATCAGTTAGTATAACGTGAAAAAATCATATTAGACTACAAACCTAAGTTGAGCTACAACTCTTTTATTCATTAACATATATTCTTCTTTTAATTTATCTTTTAATAATTCATCCAACTTATTAAGTTTCATCATTTCCTGAGCAATTTCTTCTTCAGTTACATTTTTCCTAAAATTTACGTTTAAAAAACATTGAAGTTATGACATTCAATTACTACAACTAACAAAAAATAGGAAGTTTTTAAAATGCTGAAGACAATAATAAATAATTATATTAGTATGAAACATATTACAGTTTATTTTATTCGTAAGCCACTTGTTGATTAACATTAAAATGCCATTCTTTCAAATCTCATCCATGTAAAATAGAAATTTACAAAAAAATAAAAATTAAAACAAATATTGTATTAAAAAATTAAACACAAACTTTTGAACAGACCCCAGATTGAAATATTCGTCATTTGTATTGCCGAGCAGATCATAATAATTATTCTCTTCATCTTCCTTATCATTGTTATCTGCTGCATCACCATCTTTTTGCCCTGAAAATAATTTTTAATTTTACAGACAAAACGTACGCAAAAAAATTAGTTTTATTCAAACCTAATTGCAAGATTTCATCCATTGAATTGAAGAAAACTAATTTAATTGAGACGTTGATTATCTGAAAAAGATCGTTAAAGTGGTTTTGTATATCACCATGGAAACCATTTTTAAAAACCAAAGACGTTTAATTTCATATCATTTCATTTCATTGTAAACAAAAAAGATGTCGACCTTAATAAATGTGCGGCGTTTTTCATCACTTTCATCGGTAAATTTGAATTATAAAATTTCTTTTTTTTTACAAAATTTTTTCAAATGTATAAAAATGTTATAGATTATTTAAAATAAATTTAAAAAAATTATGTATTGTATATTTTTGAAGTGCACGCTTACAACAGCATGACATGATGATGATGATTATGATGGGATTGATCTGATCTGATGACATTGCATGATGAGTGGAGTGATTTATATTTTAAATTTTTTATATGATTTACATTTTTATTGCTCAATCAAATGCTGCATGAAATTACTATGAAAAGACAAGTCCATCATAAATAAAATAATAAATGTTAAATTGTTAAAACCTGAAGTATCATTCATGACCATGATGAAACAATCAATATCTAATGAATTTTTATTTTTAATTTAGCAAAAAATAAAGTTTCAATTTAACAGTTAAATTGAAACTTTATTTTTTAGCTAATTATGCTTTCAAAATTTGAATTTCGAATCAAAAGTTAAATTTTAACTTTGGATTTGAAAATCACATTTTGAATACTTACAGTTGTAACACTACTTACTTACATATTACAGCAGCTCTAAAACAGCTTACACCAATTTTGTACTCAGAGTTATACATCATATAGATTAGATACTAAGCAGCATGATGGCCTAGTGGTTAGGGTCACCTGGTGCTGTTTCTCAGAGATGGAGACTGAGTTCAATTCAATCAATTTTCGTTTAGTATCCAGAGACCCAGTTCCCCGAGGTAGGACAAGGTAAACCGGGTTCAATTTGAATATGACCTAAAGATATGATTTTTTCTTACAGTATAACCATCAGTAAACCATTTAGTAGTTGATGACATTATGTTTAATTTTATGATATATATATATATATATATCGGCTGTGCACGTCAACATGACTCATATATCGGAATTACTACTACCTCACTGACAAGAAGGCTTACGATGCATAAACAGAGTGGTGCTATCAAATCTCATTCGGACTCAACACACTCAATCACTATTAGCCATGAAACCCTCGACAGTAACACCAAAGTAATATACCAGAACTGCAACTACACGCATCTTAAAATTGCAGAAGTAGTCCTAATTGACATCAATAAACCAAACATAAATATACAACAAAAAATGACAACCTCACTTCCAACCCGGCGCTTAACCAACAACGAAAACAAAGAAGTATTAAAAACTAGCATTGTAAATAGTGACAAAGAAGAATATGATGCTATGGATGAACAAAAGGAGACCAAAGAAGATGACCAGCCAATAAAGAAACCTGACACCTAATTTCCATCTAATTTCACTTTGACAAAGTCAATCTCCATCTAAATTCATTTTGACAAAGTAAATATTTCCCTATATAAACTGCAGAAAGCACTGATGATGATTCATTCGGAATCGAAATATGGCCTTATTTGCAGCATGAATTCGGAAAATGTTATATATTGATATATATGTTGATTGATTATGTTTGGTTTTTTAATAATTTTTTGTATATTGAGAAATTAATTTTAGTGTCGTGAGCCCAAATGCAAAATTTAAATGTAAAATTAACAATTAAATGGTACATTGTGAGTTCTTGTGCATAATTTTTTTTTTTTTATCCGTTATAAATGAAAATTTAAACAAATTATTGAAATCCATTGGATTTTTCATGCATCTATTGACTATTTTTTATTAGATCTCTTTAATTTCTATCTATTTTGGTTTGGTGTTTATTGTCTCAGCATTTTCTTAATTATTATTTTTATGAATTCCAAATGGTGTTGATCTATGTTAAAATTTTTTTTCCTTTGCAGACCTACTTTTCAAAATGCTGCAAATGTACATGTTCCAGTCTAAACTCTTCCAAACATCAGCATGCCCTCAGCAGCAGCAGCAGCAGGTATCATCATCATCATCCGCAACATCGAGTGGCCCTTCAGAACCTGTATTATTTCAACATAAACAATGTAAGAGATCATTATTCAATTATTATTAATATTTATTTTTTAATTGAGTTAACTACAAACAATTTTTTACATTTTTGTAAAGTTTATAAATTACAAGTCCAGTATAAATTGTTTTGAATATGAATCATTCATTATCAAATTGAGATACAGCAGTTGTTTCAGGTCGTAATTCTTCATTGTTGAATTTGACATATCTGACATTTTATTTTCAGATTCGTTTCATGTCAACGAGGAGAAATTTTATATCAGAATTTATCGAGAACATAAAACATGAATTGAATAAAAACAAAGAAATGAAAGTTAGTTCATCTATGTTGTCAATTTTTTCAAATATTTTTATGATTATCCAATAAATTTTTGTTATTTTTTAAAGGACAGTTTAAAAAAATTTCGAGAAGAAGCAGAGAAACTTGAACAGTCAGATTCACTGAAGAAAGCTCGTGAGAAATATGTAATGATGTTGTAACTATATTATTTTTGTACTTTTAATTTATGTTCTCCCAATTGAATCCACTCGGTATCTATCAATTTGTAATTTGTAATTATTTATATTTTATTATATATTTATTAATTAGTATATATTATGTTTATAATATTAATAAATTATTTAAACTGTTTCTTAGCAATCTATAGAAGCTGAAACAGTGAAGAGCTCCGATGCACTGAAGAAAAAAATATCTGAAATGGTCAAAGAAGTTAGTAGCATTTTTTTCAAATCTAAGTTTTTCATTTATTTCATCTTTATTTTTTCAAATTTATTTTTAGGCTCTCATGATTGTTTTGCTATTCTGTTTAACTTTTTTTCTGTAGTGTTTAATCTGTAATGTTTAATGGTTTTTTTTTATTTTGTTGAAAGATTTAACTGCTGAACGTTATTTATAATGAAATAAAGTAATTATTCATCAACCATCAGAAGCTGAGTGATGTAGAGAAATCTGAGTATGCAAAGAAAGGTTTTTGTTTCTTTTAATTTGTCAACTTTTCTATTTCTATATTGTTATTCTTAACGGCCTTTTTTTCAAATGAAAAATTTATTTCTTTTTAGTTGATATAATCATTTATCGTAATGTTAATAATTCTACCTGAAAAGTTGTTTTAAAATGTTTACCTAATGATTTATATCAATAGATCTATAAGTGGTTGGCATCAATTTGTTGGGAATTTCAGCTATGCACAAGCTTATCAATTTAATGATCTCTGAATATTTTCCCAAAACAAAATGGAAAGAAAATGATGTAAGGTTGATATAAGATTTCACCACTAACTTAACAACGTCCTTATCAGGTAAAGAGATTGTTGATGACGTTGCTCAGAGCATGGGTAGAGCAGCTGACACTGTATCCAGACAAACAGAACAACTGGCCAAGAGTCAAGTCTTCAAGACTGTTTCATCTGTTAGTTTTTGTTTCAAGTACTTCATTCGTGATAGCTTTCAATTTCATGAGTGTTTGTAAGAGGTTTCGTAAGTTTTGTAACATTTGTCACATGAATTGGAAATCATGTAAGATCGATATGAGGTTTCATTGGATTATTTCTCATTAATTTATCAGGGTGTGAAAACTTTGAAAGAAGAAATTAAAGAGTCAACAACTTATGAAAGAAGCACCCTTTACAAGGCTCCTGGTTTGATAACGAAATTGATTAATTAATTAATTGATAATCAGTTTGTTGCTGATCTATAAATGATGTTAATAACTGACGACTCTCAAGTGAGCGTGCATTTGAATGCATTGTCTGCTTCACGGCCTGCCTGCTTCACGGCCTCATTCCAGATGTTACTCTCAAATGGAGACGAGATTGAATCTTGTAAAATATTTTTCAGAGAAACTACGGAAGCGTGAGGAGTACATGGTGAAACCGGGTGAAGAGAAGCCCATTGAAGCCAACTTGTTAGTCTCCATTGTTTGTGGTTACAGTCATTAAAGCGTGAAGTTATGAGCGATTGGATGAAGTTTTTTTTTAGTAGTAATTCAATGAAATACTAGGACTAAAATGACAAATAGTAAAATAGTCGTCAACGCTGGTCATCATTAATCATTATCAATCAATGGACTGTTTTAATGGGGGTCAACCAATGTTATGATATACGAATGTTATTGCAACATTTATGAATGAATGAATGAATGAACGAATGAATGAATGAACGAACGAACGAGCCGACCACACACCACAAAAACACAGACACACACATACATATACACAGAGACACACACACACTCACACATACACAGACATACACACACACACACACACACAGACATACACACACACGTCACACACACATTGTTTTGAAGTGACGCATCGGGTGTGGTACTGCACAAGGACTCACAGTGGTATCAGAGCTGGCAGTTATTTAAGGACAACAACCAGCTCGTCAACAGTTCGTCATCGCATTAATTTTACCCTTTAGCTTGCTATTTCATATAAATTTTTGCTAACTCACAAAAATCAATAATCATCAATCAACAAATAATTGATTTTTTTGTTACGTAAGTAATCCATACTATTTCGAGAATAAAAAAAGTCTGATGATGGACTAGTGAAGAGTAATGATAATTATTAATGAAGAGTTGTTTGACATGAAGACTCGCTACGACGAGAGTGGCAACGTCCTCATCAGAGCCACAAGAACCGTCACAGACAAGCTGTCTGAATTATTTGGTTGGTTGGTGTCGGTGTTGGTGTTTCCGCTGAATTTGTTGCTGCCCTACCTACCTCCGTTGTTACTTCATGTGGATTTGTTATTTTGGTTCTTATTATTTTTTTTGGCTTTTTGAAATCATATTTTAAACCTGATGTGAAGCTAACCACCGACGAACTTCAATAAAAGTTTAAATAAATGAACTGATGAATGATGATTAAAGGAATATACAGTCAAACGATTGCACTACAATATTTTATAAGATATGAATTTTAACTGCACGCACACACACACACATGCACGCACACACACACGTGCACGCACACACGCACGCACACACATACAAACACATTCTCGCATGTTCTTAGGCGGTATATTCACAAAGACCGAGATGTCGACAGTCTTGACGGAGATCATCCGCATGGACCCAACTTTCGACAAGGAACAATTCATCAAGTTGTGCCAGTTCGACTTTATACCGAACATCTTGGAGGTAAGCATTCTGTCTTTTGTTTGGCTCTCTCTCTCTCTCTCTCTCTCTCTCTCTCTCTCTCTCTCTCTCTTTCTCTCTCTCTCCCTCTCTTACATGTCTGTCTCATTGTTGATGGGTTGTGATGATGACATTGATGAAAATGATGTCAACTAGTTGACGGCGTTCAAATTGTTGTAGTTATTTCTCAATTTCAAAACTATTCAAAATATTTTTCCGAAGGCCATAGTGCAGGGAAACTTGGAAATCTTGCAAGATTGGTGTCATGAAGGAGTTAGTTCGCAGCTTCTGTTACTGTAGCACTCGTTTTGTGTTAAGTGCTGTTGTTTGTGTTGCTGCTGGGTTTATGCTGAGTGGTGCTTGGAGTTTATCTTGGTTATTTAGTATTTTTTTTACGTTGTGTTAATATTTTTGTTATGCATATTTTTGTTATTATTGTTTTGTTCGTCTTGTTGTGAATATTTTTTGTTTTTTTGTTGTGTTGCTTTTTATTTTGTGTTTGTTTGTTTGTTTGATTGATTGATTGTTGCGTTTTTATAGTTGTGCTGTTTGTTGTGTCTTTTTTATTGTTTCGTTTTATTGTATTGTGATGTTTTGTTTGTTGTATTTTATTGTTGTTGTATTTTTGGTTGTGTTGTTTTTCTTTGATGTGTTCTTTTTTATTGTTGACTTCCTGATGCGTTGCAGCATACAACAACACACATCATCAACAACACAACAACACACAACATCTATAACACACCACAAAACATACCACAATAACACACTACATCAATACAACGACATAACTCATCACAACAACACACAACATCAACAACAACAGGCCTTCAACATTCTGGCAACTCCGATAAGGCAGGCTCAAGCAGCCAATTACAAATTTGATTCCAAAGTGTTGGACGTTAACCATGTTGATGTTGGTCAAAATTCGTTTGCTGTATTGTCACAGTGTTCATTTGTTGTTTACATTCTCTCATTTAACCGCAATGTTATTTAAGTTCTATTAGTAATTTTCGACTTCAACGATTTTTCTATTACTTCATTAATTAATTAATTAATTTTTTAATTTGGTCATCTGTCTGTTCATCAGATAGTAGCTGGCAAGATAATGGACCAAGGACCTGTCCTGGTCATCAGCTTCACTGCCCAACAAATCATGGTCGTCAGAGATCTCATGAACAATGTCGTCGAGGGAGATCCAGTATGTTTATGTTTGTGTATGTATTTTGTATGTCTGTGTATGTTATTCTATTATGACTGTTGTATGTTTTTATGGTTGTATGTTTTTAGGTCTGTTGTATGTTTGCGTGTCTGTTGTATGTTTTTATGTCTGTTGTATGTTTGCGTGTCTGTTGTATGTTTTTATGTCTGTTGTATGTTTGCGTGTCTGTTGTATGTTTTGTTGATAATTTAACGAATGCACGTACACATTCATTTGTGGATATTTAAAATATTTTATTGCAAAATGATTCTAAAAAACAAACAACAGGAGAAGATAATGAGAATATTTTATGTGTGGGCCTTCTGCAGAGATCAGAACGTCCTTGATCCCAGGGCCGCCTGGAAGTTGATCGATCTGTCTGCAAGTCCCATGGAACAGTGGTTGTGATTGGATGAAAGTTGCGCGGTACAATGTTTGTGATTGGATGCAAGTTTCGTGGTGCAATGTTTGCGATTGGATGCAAGTTTCGTGGTGCAATGTTTGCGATTGGATGCAAGTTTTTAGTAAAAACTATGTTTTATAATTGATTGAATGATTTATTTTTTGGTAGATTTTTAGCTGATTTGGTTGGTTGGTTGGTTGGTTGCCCATCAGTTAGTCGTTGGTTGATTGGTTTGTTGGAAAGTGATATTATTATTTTTTAATTTATACGCTTGATTGGCTGGTTATAACATAGATAGATACATGTTTAATATATTGCACAAGTAAGTAGATGTTCAATGAATGAGCTCTGAAAAATGAATTGTGTTTGTCGTTTCATGAAATCAAATGTGTCATGTTCGTAAATTTATCAAATTAACTCCACCCGACAACGAGATTTGTTACCTGTTGAATGCATTCGTTTCGACGTGTTCATCCATTCTTATCTTTTTGTTGACGGAATTTTTTAAAATTTTTACGACAAAATTTAATGTTTCAGTTTGTATACACAACAAACGATCACTTTGAAAATCAATCGTCTGCCGGGCCAGAATAAATTTTTGCAAATGATGTACTTCAAAATGTCTGCCGGCTAATTGAGGCCATGCACACAAAACATGGCTTAATTAAGCTATCGATTACCGTTGCATGCCTGTATTCAATCATGGATTTCTGGTCATCTGGATGAAAATCTGGCTTGTGTTCTTGTAAGCGCTACGCAAAAATGTGGCCATGTAGCCTATCTATGCTTGTGCTTATATTCCGGCGCTCCACATGTTCCATCTCATTTATCGTTTGACTTACTATTGATTTGTTTGTGTATCATTTATGTTTTTAATATTCAAGTTTTCATGTTAATTGAATTACTGTTGAAATGTTAAACAAATGTTCAGCATTCGGATGCAAAAGTGGATGTACCTCGATCAAATGCAGCAACAGATCGAGAAAACAACCTTTCTTTTCATTTTCAAGGATACCAGTTGAATAATTCTGGTTTATTGTTGAAGTGCATTCGAGCAAAACCTCGAAAAAATTTTACACCTACCAAATATCCGAGAATTTGTTCTCATTTTGTTCCAACCGATTTTGTTGATGAGTTCAGTGATTCATATAGGAGACAATTAGTGAAATCAAAATCTACGGGCAATTCTTCCATTAAGAGCCATTACGTTCGTTAATAAAGTTATACGGTGGCCTCATTTCTGCGAAGACCGATTTTCAGTTTTTCATCCAAGTATAAGTCCAGAGATCCATTGTATTCATTCAATGTGTGGTTTTGTTGTACGACTGTGTCTGCATATACATACTCAGGTACATGTAAGTAATGTTTAAAAGGATCGTTTCAACAAAAAGTTTATTACCCTTTAAAACAAAAATGCTAAATCACAAGTTAAGAAAACATGACGATATAGAAATTATGACGACACAATTGTAAATAAATCTGTAGACAGCAACGTTCGATTCGTTACGACATGTGCCGCCGTTGAACAGGTTTTCAATCATGTCATTTCACGTCTAGAAATATCTCGGCCCATTTCTTCAAAGTCTAAAATATTCACTGCGTAGTAAATAATAACTGCGGAATAAGAACTAGATGTACGTAAGTATTTGCGTGTGTCAACGTGTGTGACCAAACCTCAAAATAACGTTTTCAAGCTGTTAAAGGATCAGTTATTTGAGTGAGCAAGTTTTTCAACACAAAATCGATTGTCAGGAGCAATGATCGAATCAGCCAAAAGATTAATCAACCAATCAATCAACAAACCAATCAATCATTCACTGAAGAATTTCTATTGCTCCATTCCGTCACTGAGCATCGCGTGTTTGAAAATGTTCTTCAGTTGATTTGCCGCAATCTGCATGTGTCACAAGACTAATATAATAAATGTAGGTAAATGCTTTAAAAATAAATACTGTTTCTCATGTCGTGACAACTTAAATGAATGAAAAACAAAAGTTTGCGTAACAAATGTTGCTCGAAACATCAACAGTTAAGTGACAGTACAAAAAGATGAGCGATAGTAAGAGGTGGGAAGTTATTTGAGTGGTTAGGGATGAGCTTGCGCCGTTTGAATCGTCTTGAGTCATGGCATCATACCGAGTATCGAACGAACCTGATATTATTCTATTCAAAGCATCTCTAGAGTAATTATTTATATTGTGATAATGAGCCTTGTAGTATTGATGATGTTGATGGGCTGATTTGACGTGCCTTGGAGGCAGGGGGTGCAGAGCCGTGTTGCTGGATGAGTGCTGAAGATCCGCCTGACTTCTGGCATCACATGGTACTGTGTGGAGAAATTATAAACATGATGATGTGTCCATTTGTGATGGTACAGGACATACGTACATATAAATAGGGATGATGACGTCAAGAACGATACTAATGACGTAAATAATGATGTCGAGAAAAAAGATGTTGAGGGTTGTGATGATGATGCAGAAGATGATGATGGTGATAGTAGACGAAGAAGAAGATGACGATGTTGAAGAAGATGATGATGACAGATACTTGGGTGCATGTTGAGGGCGTATGCAAATTGTTCCTTGATTGCATTGTCTGGATTGTTGTTTGTTTTCACGTTCGTACTCTGTTGCTCGTGTTTGCCGCACTGACCATCTGATGAGAACATGTTCACATCGTTCTTACGACTGAAAACCTGTTAATGTACAAGAAACAAGTGCACATGTGTATGAATGTGCGTGTTAACACATGTTGGAGTGGTTGATAGTATGTGTGAATGTTTTTGCTTGTTTCTCTGTGGAAGTCTCTGCTTGTTTGCTCATGTTTCTAGCTAAGTGTTTTTGTGTGTGTGTGTGTGTGTATGCATGCATCCATACATGCATCTATAGAGATACATTCATGCGTGCAAAGAAAGAGGAAAGCGTGCTGCTGATTCAATTGAGATGTTCATGCAGACGACAATTCGCAGGGGAGCAAAATTTTATGAAAAGTGAAATTTTTCACAATTGCATACAAAGCAAGTAATCAGATTGGCGTTGTCGTTCTCCTCATTCAAAACCTCGACCGCCATGTATTGTCTGCTCCCGACGTCCCATGTTGCCAAACAACGAAACTGCAAACCTGAATTATTTATTGATATCGAATCATTTCTAGTAAATTTTCATGCATTATTATAATAAAAAATGGTATCGTCAGCATTATTAGCAGCACTAATTTAATTTAGTGAGATTCCAGTGATGTGTGGTGCTCACAGAACTGATGTTTATTGAAATGAGGTTTATTGAATCAAAGAATGTTTGTGTGTGAAAGCCAGGAGGAGGCTTGTCGAGCACGACCATCCCAAATCAGCCTGGCTGGCTCTATGACACCAGAAAAAAGTTACCAAATATGCTGAAATATTAAGCAATGCTTGAAATAAATCAATTAAAAAATAATCAAAGCGTTAAAATTTTAAAAAAGTGAATAAATATTTATTGAATGTTTAAAAATTGTAAAATTTGGTGAATTTTATGAATAATTGTTCTTGGAAACTAAAGGATTACACCAGATCCTAAAGGGCCTGATAATTGAGGATCAGTATAGGTATTCTAAGTATATGGTAAAACCTCAACTTTCATTTTATTGAAACTGATAGAAGCACGAATCTATGATACATTTGCATATCATTTATAATTTTTAAGCCATGAAATAATTACAAAACTACAAAGTAATAACAGTTGCCGATTAACTTAAAGGCTGCACAAGTGAGGCATTTGCATCTAGTAACATCACGCCGCAAACGCATATCTACCCTCACCCCAAACGAACCTGGTTTGGAAGAGCACGTGCTGACGATATCGATGACGTCATCGTGCAAACATCCGACCCTCAGATAACCATGGCAACCGACCACTCCAGTGTAAATGAAATACTTTCCTTCTTCCAAACACGTTTGTCGGCCACTGGCTGATTCCTTTCCTAAAAATGAAATTTGAATTGAAGAAGAGCGAGTTTAATGCAAATGTCATATTTTAAGGACCTGTTCATAATGTGAAAACGCTATATGGAGTTTTTATATTTAGGTTTTGTTGCAAAACCAAACGCGCAATGAATGAGTGGAAAGGCAAGGTTAAAAAGAACAGAAACAGCTTTCAAAAATTTTTAAAACTCCGATGACATGAAGAACATTGGTATTAGGCTACCATTGGAATTAGTATTAGTCGTAGTATTAGTATCACATATTATTTTCCTATCGCCAAACACTTCCAACGATTTATTTAACCACATGCCTGCAAGCAAGCAGTGTTGTTGCAGTTGCTGAAAGATCACGTTTATATCTTTAGACTCGGTGAAAGTTGTTTGAAAAATTCTACAAAACTTTGTTAATGTCTTCAATGTATATTAATTCATATTCAGCTGCACTAACATGCATCTGATATATCTTGCTGATTGCTTCACTAACAATATATGGATGTCGCCGTAAGTTGATGTGCGTCGCTTCGTAATGTAAGTAAAATTATTCAGTGGATGAGTCTTCAAGTGAATGCAACAAAAATGAAACAAACACCACTGCAACAGATGAAAGGAAACCTCAAGAATAAAATGGAAAAAATTGAGAAGCTAAAGCCTGGAATTTAATCAGTTAACGAAGAAAGAAAGGTGTTACAAGAACGAAGGAGTGAACGGGGGACGTGGAGGGCGGAGAACATCCAGCAGGAGGCATGGGTGCCAGATAAGACGTGAATGGAAGTAAGAAAAGTTTTTATTCACTGTTGGCATCACGAGCGCAGAATAATGAGAGCTAAGTCGAGTGTGAGGCCTGAGAAAAATAAAAATGATTATTTCTCTCCCGTTTTATTTTCTGTATGAAATCCTTCTTTATGTAATAATGCAGTTGGGCTTGTACGTTAAAATAGAAATGTGTTAGAGGCTCTCCGACTTAATATATATTTTTCACAAGTCTATCGGTTTGAAATTGCGAAGAAAGAGTTTTTTTGAAAAAAATGCTTGCATTCAAATGAAAAAACTGCGCAATAATATTGGAATAAATCTTGTTAAGTTTGTTTTTATATTTGAAATTGTCGTGAAAGTTTCTTCCAAACACAATACCCGCAAAAAAAACAGCTGAAACAAAAGAAATTACAAGCAATGCTAATGAACAAAAGTACAAATATGACATGATGATTGATGATGATGACGTATTGTTGTTGATGATGACGTGATGATGACGGCGTAATGATGATGACGTGATGATGATGATGATGATGACGACATGATAATGTTAGATGAGTGGGATGTCGTTTAAAAAATGATAATAACTTATTAGCAAGACTTCCTTCTCGTACATGTCACGTGAACAATCCAGCGTGCCACCACCACCACCACCAGAACCTCCATGCCCTGCAATCATCAATTTATGAGGGAATGAAAATATATTTTCACATTTTTGTTTCTGTTAATTAATTCGCTTTCTATTAATTTCATTTTTCCTTGAATTTATCAAGTTTTTTATATTTACTACTGCAATTTTAAAATCACAATAAACAAATTAAACAACATTTTTTTATTTATTTCTCTTTTATTTATTTAGGTACGTCTTGTAGAGCGTGCTCCTACGTAGTTATGCGTTGCATTTTGTTTGTTCTTTTCAGATCAAAAGTTTGATTCTCAAATAAGTATGTAACGATCGATTCGTCAGCAAGTCTGTGTGGTTGTCAGAAGTCAATGATAGAGAACGCAAAAAACTGCACGAACCTAAGAACATCTGAAGAACATCTGATCCTCTTCTCATGATCATCATGCATTGCTCTCGTTGTTTGCTGTTATGTGTTGTTGTTGTTGTTGTTGCAGTTGTTGTTTTTGCATTGTTGATGTTGTTGCTGCTGCTGCTGCTGGGTTGTTGCCGCTGTTGCGTTGTTGTTGTTATTGTTGCTGTTGCATTGTTGTTGTTGTTGCGTTGGTAGTTATGTGATGATTTTTGTATGCTTGTAGCATGGTGTATGCTTGTAATATATATTTTAATTGTGAATCAATTTACGTTCATACATCATATATGACTTGAAAATATAACCAATTTTATTTGTGACAAAAACGATTGTCATACTTTTCTTTAATTTTTCGATTAGACTAATTTAACAAAATATGGCATTTTATCTTAAACTGCAACAGTTTAAATTATTTATTTGAAAAATAACAAACCAATTGTTATGAACTAATGAAAGTGCTATAAAGTGGGTGGAGTTTGAATGGACCAATCGCTGACAACGATAAGACATCGTGTCATTAGCTGATTGGACGTTAATTTGTTGCCCCTCTCTACTTGAGGTTACTTTTAATTTGTTGGAGAAATCTTTCCACTGTTCATTGGTCAGCCATGTTGGAAAAGTGCATGGAGTATCCAGCATCTGCTTGTCATCTGTCAATTAATATTTAATTATTGATAGAGGTCGGCTTGTGTGTGGCTTGTTGGTGCGTGATTGGTTATTGGGTGATTGGCTAGTGTGTGATTAGTTGATGGGTAATTGATTAGCGTGCAATTGGTCGGTGTGTGATTGGTTGGTGAGTGATTGGTTGGTATAAAGCTGCCTTCGAGTAGCTTGTTTAGCATATGATTGGCTGCTGGGTAGAATAATAATTTTGGTGGTTAAATAAATAAATCGTACATTCATCCCTCCATTTCTTCACTGACCTAGTGATAACATGAGGACAGTTGGCCCATCAATGTGGGACCTCAGTCCTCTGCAGGATGCATCGGCTGACATGGACATCTGGATCAAAGTGCCCACCTGCCTGTAGATCTGGCCGGTGTTGTTAGTTTTGTGCATGTCTTCGTGGTTGTTGTGTATTTATTATTGCTTTTGTTGTTTATTATGTTGTGGGTGTAACTTATGTAACTATTGTTGTCATTATTTGAACTGTCTTTGTCAAATTCCGTAGCTATGAAGGGTTTTTGGATTGAAACCTCGAACAAGAAAATCAATGTTCATAAATTTGGGCCTCTAAATAATCTAACTTCTCAAAAACAAAAAAAAAATTACGATGCACAACGCTGTTTTGCAAGAACAAATGGTCATGAAGATGTGTGCGTGTGCGTGATTAACAAGAAGTCGTAAATTTTTATTACAGGATGATCAACAAACTCCTACAGAATTTTTTTTAGTTTAGTCACTGGAGGTCGTTGTTTAAGTTCTCCGAGTTGGTGTTAGACACAACGACACCGCTGTTACATTGTGTCTGTTATTATATTTTGGCTCGGGTCAGTTTGTTTTTTCTGTTTGCGTGAACTTGCAAATAAGATTTTGTTGATGTCTGTGCAGTTTGTGTGGTTCGATGTTCTTGCATGTTGATGTTCTCCGCCGATAGCATTACCATTTGATTTTGCTCTACCATTCGGATTTGTTACTTTTAGAAATTTTTTATTTGAGAAATTTTTGATAATTTGCAAATCACATTTGCAAGAAATGTTGACGATGACGTCGACACTATTTGTGACGGTGACGCTGATGATGACGATTATGATGAGGCTGATTATAATAATAACGATGATGGTGTTTCTGATGATGACGACGACAATGATGATGAGGCCAAAGAACTCCATAGATCGGAAGAAATAGAATAAAATGTTGGTGATGATATCGGCAATAAAGACGGTGATAAAAGTTGTACTATCTCTATGAAGTTTTCCATGGGAATGTTGATGGTGTCAATGAGTGAATTAAAAACTAGTAAGTGAAACCATGAAATGAAACGACATGGAATAAAATGACCTCTATATGACATTGGAATGACGTGGAAGAGTTGCACAAAAATGAAACAACTGAATGAGTTTGCAGTTAACAACTAACAGCAATTTGACACATTAATAACAAAAATTATTAAAATGAAATAATAATTTGACGTGACTGTTGAAGTCGTTGCGACCGTGTTGGAAGCATTAAATATTCAGACATCAATTAGACACAGCCTGCAGACAGGCATATCGAGACAATAAAGAAGAATGAACATTTTGATAACTTAATGCTCTGGGCACATTCATTCTCGTACATTCCGAAATATGCTTCCATTCCAGTTTTAAAAAAATTTGAAATGGTCCATTCATAACACTTAAGAAATTCTTTCGCAATCAGAGCAAATTATATTCAAGTCCTGTTTAGCTACTTTGTCACTTGTTATTCCCAAGCAATTTCATTCACAATGTTGTTGCGACATAGTTTGTGCGTGAACGTGTGCGTGTGTGTGTGCTGTGTGTGTGTGCTGTGTGTTTGTGTGCTGTGTGTGTGTGCTGTGTGTGTGCGTACGCTTAATGCATTATATTTGCCTCATCATTGTGCTTAGGTGCATGAATGCATTAATCAGTCAATTAATAAATATCCCAACCAACCAACCAACCAACCTGCGTGTGAATGAATTTTTGTGTGAATTGTATACCCAAATAAATGAGTGAATATGTTTTGTTATGTGTATTCGCAAGCAAAATTACGTGCGTCTGCCTTTTAATTTCTCACCTTGGATTCTATATTTCATTCTATCTAAATGGATGCGACCGACTGTTTTCCCTCTAAACGTTGTAATTACACTTAGGTATTGATAGATCAAAGGAGGATAAACATGATAAAGATCCAAACATGATAACGACAACTTACGACCAGCCAACTGATAACGACAACTTGCGACCATCACTTGTGAATATTTCTTACGATTTTTTTTACAAGGAACATCAAATCCGGCAAATTATTGTGTCTAGTTTTGTTCATTTGAAATTATTGTAAACCATCTCATTGTGATCATCATAGTCATAATATATTTTTACTAGGATCAAATTTTTTTATCCAAGATACTTTTTAAAAAATTACATTTAGAAAAATTTTAATATTTAATTAAAATGAATTAAGAAATAAATAAAACTTTAAAATGTTGTACGTTTTTTGTTGTATCAATTTAATGATGATGATGATAATATCAACAGGATAATAAAAAATAACAAAAAAGAAGACAACATATAAAGTAATATGTCCGTTATGATTTATTTAAGAAGCATGAAAGGAATTGAAAGAGCGTTCATTAGCTTTGTTTTCATGCACCGAATCTCCAAGACCACGTCAGTGCATCTTTATAAGAAATCAATGAAAGACCATAATTGCCTAGTTTAGCAGTTGGTTGGATGGATTGGATACCTAAGTGATGTTTGATGAGTTTAATTCTGTTGTATCATTCTTACTTTATCATTTGTGCTATTTTTCTGTACTTTGGGAACCTTTATTTTCGAGGTTTTCCAGAATTGTTTTGAATGTTATCTTGCATGTTTCAAGCATTTGTACATCATTCCACTGTTATTTTGTTGTACCATTTGATGTTTTATTTTATGATCAACACTTACTGTTTTTGGAAATTTTTTTATTCAAATGTTTTATTTAAAATGCTTCAACATCAAGTTAATGTTGCACATGGTTACCACTTTTAAACTGTTGTTTCCTTCAGGTTGCATCGTCAGAAGCCTCATAAATAAGCATTGCTTGCTACCCGCTTGTTTGTTGAATGCTGCAGAGAAATAAATTTTTTTCGCGAATAAATTCCGCACGCTACATAGCTTCAAATGGATGCAACAAGGTTCTCAAAACGTCACCCCACAAGTCTCATTGAAGTTGTCTTACTGCACATACACAACCCTCCTCATACTTCCATTTCATTCATTAGTTAACAAGTTTTTATGTCTGGTGTTATCGTTTCGCAATAGGTTTACTATCACTACTGCTGCTGCAACTCTCCAAATATTATTGCCGGTTGCTACTACAAGTATTGTTACTGCGTTACTACTTCTGTTATTTCGGTTGTCACCATTGATGCTACTACTGTTATCACTATTACTTCTACTATTTCTACCTCAATTTCTACTACTACTACTACTACTACTACTACTACTACAACGATTACTACTATTACTACTACTACAACAACTACTACTACTACTACTGCTACTTCTACTACTACTACTACAACTACTACTACTACTACTACTATTACTCTACTACTACTACTACTACCTACTACTACTACTGCTGCTACTACTGCTACTACTATTAATACTTTTTCAACTACTTATTATTATCAACATTATCAGTAGCATTAACAATAATAATAACAATAACAATAATAACAATAACAAAAATAATACACAATAACATTAATATTGCTTTTACAGCTCCGGTTAAATTTTGTATTAGGAGTTTTATCGTCGAAACCCTCACCTATGATGGTAATTAAGACAGCATCAAAAACAACAAAAACAACAAAAACCACAACTACAACAACCACCATAACAATGCTATTAAGAGGAGGAGGTAACAGAGAAGAACACAGCATTTGATGCTATTTATGATGTCATCATTATCAATTGCTGAATTATCAAATCGTCACTCCTACTACTGTTACTACTACTACTACGACAACTACAACTATTACTAACAGCAACAACTACTACTATTGCTAATACTACCAATGCTACTACTACTAAGACTACAATTACTAATCTTATACTGCAGTTAACATTGCTACTACTACTGCTACTAATATAATAATAGCCTACTAACAAATGCTTAAAAACAGATGTGATGAATTTATCAATAGAAAAAACAATAATAAAAAGTTAAATAAATATTTTTGATGACGCAAAAAATGAGCGTAATAGGAAGATAATTAACCCGCACCTGACGGCAGGCTACACTGTGACGCTGCAACGTTTGCGAAGCTGCATGCCAGCCGGCCACTTGACGCCGATGACCATCAAAACACATTTCCACGTGTCGTCTCACCTCCGTCAGATAATTTGCAATAAAATTTTCTCTCATCACACAATTACTATAAACAATAGCTCAATCGGTGGGAGTGTCATGTCTTGCGCTTCTATTACGCGATGGCATGGTTCGAATGCCGTCTGTCCAGAATTAAAAAAACCATCGTACGAAATGTGTATCAGTGTCGTGTGGTGTGGATAGTAAAGTCTTTGTGGCACGAAACTTCCTCCATAAGAACAGAATAACATATAAGCAGCCCTGCCTTTGACAGGGCTGCATTATACAGAATATAAAAATGCATCACAAATTTTATTTTAATCGTTTTTTCGCTCACTTCGATGACAATTGTAGCAAAGGCACCTCAGCGCTTATATTGGAGCTACACAAATTACATTAATAATAACAATAATAATAATAATATTATTATTATTATTATCACGTAACTTGTAACACGTAACGCCTAACACGTAGTATGAAATTTGAAACGCGTAACATGTGGCATGCGTAACAATTATTTTCATTGAAGCTGGTTAAACGAGCGTTACATCGGTTTTGCTTGCTTGGGTTTTTAATGTTTAAAATTTAAATGATTGACACTATTATATTAACAACATCTCAATTTGTTCGGGGTGATGAAATTTTGTCAAAAATTGGTATGTCAACACACTTGTCAATTAAGTTAATTGCAATTAATTTAATAATTTATGAGAAATTAAATGTTAAAAAAAATGGATTGGTTAATAAATTAGAAAACTTACAAAACAGCGGAAATATTTATTTGAAGAAACTTCATGAAGTGACTGAGGTTCATCGTGTTGTTGTTGTTGATGATGATGATGTTGCTGATGGTGCTTTTGATGATGATGGTGATGTTGTTGGTGGTGATGATGATGTTGCTGATGGTGCTTTTGATGATGATGGTGATGTTGTTGGTGGTGATGATAATAGTTTGGTTGATGATTATCATAGTGATATTGATCAATTTGTTCGCGATGAATGTATGGCTGGGATGATTGGAGTTGTTGTGATTGTTG